TGGTTTTGTTTGCATTTCCCTAATTACTAATGGTGATGAACATCTTTTCATGTTCATCTTTTCTTATTTGCTATCCATATGTTTTTGGTAAAGTGTTCATGTTTTCCCCCATTAAAAAAATTGGATTGTTTTCATATGTGTGTATACACACACACACACACATATTTTGCATATAAGTAATTTATCAGATACGTGTTTACAAATATTTTCTCAGTCTCTGGCTTGCTTTTCATTCTGTAAGCTGTGTTTTTAAAAAATTTTTTTTAAAAATTTTTGATTGAGGTATCTGTGGACTGAGGAGCCTAGCCCTTTTTTCACTGGATCATGCTTTTGATCTTCTATCTAAGAAAGGTTTCTCCTAAGTTTTCTTCCAAAAGTTCTGTAGTTTTAGATTTTAAATTTAGGACTGGAAAAGGATAGGAAATGCTTTCCTTCCCTCCTTTTGATCAGTCTGGATAGATTTTCTTGAAGATAATCCTTGGTTTCATTTCTTTTTCTCTATTGCTTTCTCTTGTCTCTCATTGATTTTTGTTCTAATTTTTATCATTTCATTTCATTTTGTTCTAATTTTTTATTATTTCATGGCTGTTTAATTTGGATTTCATTTGCTCTTTTTTTCGAGTTTTTTTAAGGTGTAATCTGAAGTTGTTTATTTGAGACTTGCTTCTTTTTAATATGGGCATTTTCGTGCTATAAGTTTCCCTCTAAGTACAGTTTTAGTCACATCCTACAGATTTTGGTATTTGTGTTTACAGTTTCATTCTTTAAATTTAAATACTTTTAAATTTCCATTTTGCTTATTCCTTTGACTTTTGGATTATCTAGAAGTGTATTATGTACTTCCCAAATGTTTGGGGGATTTTCCAGATACTGTTGTACTGTTGCTTGTAATTTAGTGCTGTTGTAGCCAGTGAACGCTGTATGACTTAAATCTTTTTAAATTTGTTAAGACTCTGTTTCAGTGCTGAGAATACAGTCTATCTTGGTAAATGTTCCAAGTGTACTTGAAATGAGTATGTAATACTGCTGTTAGTGTTGGGCCAGTTTTATATAAATGTCAGATCAGTTTGGTTAGTGTGGTTCAGATTTCCTGTATCCTTATTTTCTATTAATTTCTATCAATTATTTAGCTAATGAAATATCACACTCTATTTTGTAGATATATTTGTTTCTCCTAGTGTTAGATTAGCTTCTTGTACTTTGAAGTTCTGTTATAGATAAATAAATGTTTAGGATTATTGTGTCTTCTTGATGAACTGACCTTTATCATGGTAAAATTTATCCTCTTTATCTCTGTTAGTATTCTTTCCTCTTCTTTTTTTTTTTGTATAGTTCTCCTGTGTATTCTTGTCTCCTCCTCTTAATATCTTCTGCTTCTGTTAGGTTCATACTATTTCTGCCCTTTACTGTGCTCATCTTTGCATGAAATATTCCTTTGGTATCATTAATTTTCTTGAAGAGATCTCTAGTCTTTCCCACTCTGTTGTTTTCCTCTATTTCTTTGCATTGATCACTGAGGAAGGCTTTCTTATCTCTCCTTGCTATTCTTTGGAACTCTGCATTCAAGTGGGTATATCTTTCCTTTTCTCCTTTGCCTTTCGCTTCTCCTCTTTTCACAGCTATTTGTAAGGCCTCCTCAGACAACCATTTTGCCTTTCTGCTTTTCTTTTCCTTGGGGATGGTCTTGATCCTGGCGTCCTGTACAATGTCATGAACCTCTGTCCATAGTTCTTCAGGCACTCTGTCTATCGCATCTAATCCTTCAGCTTTGTCACTTTCACTGTATAATCTTAAGGGATTTCATTTAGGTCATACCTGAATGGTCTAGTGGTTTTCCCTGCTTTCTTCAATTTAAGCCTGAATTTGGCAGGAAGGAGTTCATGATCTGAGCCATAGTCAGCTCCCGGTCTTGTTTTTGCTGACCGTATAGAACTTCTCCATCTTTGGCTGCAAAGGATATAATCAATCTGATTTTGGTATTGATCATCTGGTGACATCCATGTGTAGAGTTTTCTCTTGTGTTGTTGGAAGAGGATATTTGCTATGACCACTGCGTTCTCTTGGCAAAACTCTATTAGCCTTTGCCCTGCTTCATTCTGTACTCCAAGGCCAAATTTGCCTGTTACTCCAGGTGTTTCCTGACTTTCTACTTTTGCATTCTAGTCACCTATAATGAAAAGGACATCTTTTTTGGGTGTTAGTTCTAAAAGGTCTTGTAGGTCTTCATACAACCGTTCAACTTCAGCCTCTTCAGCGTTACTGGTTGGGGCATAGGCTTGGATTACCATGATATTGAATGGTTTGCCTTGGAAACAAACAGAGATCATTCTGTCATTTTTGAGATTGCATCCAAGTACTGCATTTCAGACTCTTTTGTTGACCATGATGGCTACTCCATTTCTTCTAAGGGATTCCTGCCCACAGTAGTAGATACAATGGTCATCTGAGTTAAATTCACCCATTCCAGTCCATCTTAGTTCGCTGATTCCTAGACTTTTCATGTTCACTCTTGCCATCTCCTGTTTGACCACTTCCAATTTGCCTTGATTCATGGACCTAACATTCCAGGTTCCTATGCAGTATTGCTCTTTACAGCATTGGACCTTGCTTCTATCACCAGTCACATCCACAACTGGGTATTGTTTTTTCTTTAGCTCCATCCCTTCATTCTTTCTGTAGATATTTCTCCACTGACCTCCAGTAGCATATTGGGCATCTACCGACCTAGGGATTTCATCTTTCAGTGTGCTGTCTTTTTGCCTTTTCGTACTGTTCATGGGGTTCTCAAGGCAAGAATACTGAAGTGGTTTCCCATTCCCTTCTCCAGTGGACCACATTCTGTCAGACCTCTCCACCATGACCCGACCATCTTGGGTGGCCCCACACAGCATGGCTTAGTTTCATTGAGTTAGACAAGACTGTGGTCCGTGTGATCAGATTGGCTAGCTTTCTGTGATTATGGTTTCAGGGTGTCTGCCCTCTGATGCCCTCTCACAACACCTACCGTCTTACTTGGGTTTCTCCTACCTTGGACGTGGGGTATCTCGCGCAGCCGCTGCTCCTTACCTTGGACAAGGGGTATCTCCTCACGGCTGCCCCTCCGCCCCTCAGATTGGTTAGTTTCCTGTGATTGTGGTTTTCAGTCTCTCTGCCTATTGATGGAGAAGCTTAAGAGACTTATGGAAGCTTCCACCATAGTTTGGCCCCAGGTAAGTAGCAGAGAGGGAACACAGCTCCACCCATCAACTGAAAATCGGATTAAAGATCTACTGAGCACGGCCCCGCCCATCAGAACAGCCCCAGTTTCCCCCTCAGTCAGTCTCTCCCAGCAGGCAGCTGCTGGGCCACAGTCCATGGGCTGTAAAAGTCAGACATGACTGAGTGACGCACCTAACTGATTCTCACAATTAAGCATATATGTAATTACAATAAATATTTATAAGTATCTACTCAAGGTAAATTAAACCGTGTTTGCAGAGACGTTTGTATTCTAACATTTATAGCAGCTTTATTTATAAGAGCTGAGAACTGAAAACAACTTAAATCTGCATCAGTGGATGAATGGGTAACAAATTTTGGTATTATCTCTGTAATGGTAGACTGTGTGTCTGTGTGTGTTGTGTGCATGTGCACGCACGCGTGCGCTCAGTTGAGTCTGACTCTTTGTGACCCTGTGGACTGTAGTCTGCCAGGCTCTTCCGTCCATGAAATTTTCCAGGCAAGAATCCTGGAATGGTTGCCATCTCCTATTCCAAGGGATCTTCCTGATCCAAGGATTGAACCCTTGTCTCTTGCATCTCCTGCGTTAGCAGGTGAATTCTTTACCACTGTGCCACCTGGGAAGCCCATAATGGTATGTTACTTGGTAATAAAAAAGAGTGAATATGGTATGATACAAGTCTTAAAAGTGTTATGTTGAGGGGAAGCAGCCAGAAACAAAAATAGTTAGTATGTGATTCCTTTTATATGACATTCTAAAAAAGCCCAAACTAGTTAATGGTGACAGAAACAAATCTGTGGTTGTCTGAGCCTAGAGATGGAGGCAGGAATTTACTGCAAAGGGCATGAACCCGCTTTTTAAAAAAAATTTGGTTGACATACAATATTATATTAGTTTCAGGGAGACCTGGGTTTAATCCGTGGTTTCGGAAGATCCCCTGGAGGAAGGCATGGCAACCCACTCTTGTATTCTTACCTGGAGAATCCCATGGACAGAGGAGTTTGGGCAGCTGTGGTCCGTGGGGTCGCAGTGACTGAATAATTAAACACACTCACAGTCTCCTTTAGTGTGGCCCTTGACTGTCTTTCCAGCTTACCTTCTGTTACAACACCCGGCCTCTCACTTTGCTTATGACCCTTGTTTCCCAACACTAGCCATGTTAATCTCATTTCTTTTGGCTATATGCCTCTCTCCCTCCAGCCTCTTGTCTAGTTTACCCTTTAAAACTCATCTCAGGACTCTGCCTCCAGAAAGTCTTCATTTATTTATTAAATTATCCTTCTTCACATGGTTCCTCTCCAAGAAAGAGAAGTACTCTATGGTGTTTCTTTGGTTCAGTCATAGGTCTTAAAGGTACAGTTACCATTTTGGCTTGTGCTTCTAGTCCTTTCTCCCCCACTAGATTGTGTACTTGTTGAGCACAGTGATTATATTTTATTTATGCTTTGGATCCACAGGCCTGCTTTATAATAAGCGCTTAATAACTTGCTGAAGGATTGAATATAAATGTTAAGTGAGAAAAGGAGATAAAAGGGCACATGGAGCGATTATTACTGCTTTGTTTTAAGCAACACTTTTTGCACAGAAAGCAAAATACTGGGAACATTTATATCAACATTTTTTAATACCAATTTGTGTGGTAAGATTAATTTCTTTAGTATTTTTGGCAGTTTTGAATATTTCAAAAAAACATTTAACTTGCAGTTATTTCATGAGACATTATCTTAAAAACTGACTGTATAACTTTTGCCTATTCAAATGAATTTTTGCATTTCTCTAGGTCCACAGCACAGACACAATTTTTAATCCGTTAACCACAGACCTGAGTGTGAAGATTCCTGGTTGGTCAGATGTATCAGTTCAACGTGAGGCATCAGAGGATCCCGGTGCTACTCCTAGCATTCAGCAAGTAAAAAGCCCTGAGAAAGTCCAGATTGCTCACCCTCTGCCAGTGGCTCCCTCCTACAGTTATGCCACCCCTACCCCCGAGGCCTCTTTCCAGAGCAGCTCCACACCACACCCAGGTGAGCTCTTTGTTTCTCTCCTTGGAGATAGGATGGGGAAATAGAGATTTTGATCAAAGTGTTCCCTTTTAGTGGGAAGAAAGGAAGGACAGAGGCATGACTTTTATTAATAAATACTGTAGATTAAAGAAATAATCCTATTAGTATCCCTGTAATTATAGTACATGGTCTCTCAATCGTTTTTTCAGTAAGCTCCAACCTATGGGAATTTATGAGGCTCTTTCTAGAGTAGAATTCCATTGCCTAGACTCAGTTAAATAATGATCAGGGAACCAAGCAGAGACTACTAGGAAGAAAGTTGGAACTGTACAACTATTTGCCTTCTGAATGGCTGATTATAGGTCAGAACATTTGTGTCTCTGATTTTGAGAGCATCTTTATTTTCTTTTTAAAAATGCTTATTTAGGCCATACCACGTGGCTTCTGGGATCTTACTTCCCTGACCAGGGATCATACCTGGGCCTCAGCAGTGAAAGTGCTAAGTCCTAACCAGTGGACTGCCAGAAAATTCTGCATCTTTATTTTGAAAGCAGCTCATAGAAGGGAGATTTACACAGAGCGTTCCTTTAGCACAGGTCTGCTTTGTAAATTCGTTCTAAGATACTAGGAGGAAATGGTTAATCCAGGAAACTAAGTTGATCTTTATCTCCTGAAAAAGTCAACAGGGTGAAGCAAAGCCAGTGAAAATGAATTTTTTTGCCAGTTTTTAATTTCCTAAGGTTTCCTTTGGTGCTAATATAACATGAAATCTAGGGTTTCAGTCCTGCAGCATTAAAATAATTTTTGTATTCAGGCAGGATGGTTGTGATTTTTGGTATAATTGTGAAAGATTTGGGCTGTGCTGTATTTTTGTCCATTACACTTTTTCTGAGTATAGTGGTTTCTTTATTTTCTTTTTTCCTCTTTTAAAAATTGCTTTAGCAGTTCTTATTCCACATCCTGGGGTGTCTAAATGCCATAGTTTCCATAATGGATGGTTTCATTTCTCCCCAAGTGCAGTATTTCCAAGAAGACAGATAAATCTCAAATTTCATATTTATGTAGGAAACCCTTTTCACCTCCCAGTCTTGGAATATGGATGAACCAGCCAGTTGTTTGTTTTAAGCTCTCTTAGTTCTTGGGTCTCATCCAAATGAACAATTATTGTTAGAGAAATAAGATTTGTATAATCAGTGGCTCTCAAAAGCCTGTGGGCATTTGTGAATGTTGCAGCTGTGGAGGAGTGCTGCTGACATCTAGTTGGTCGGTAGTGACTCGGTATACTGCTGAGCACCTTACAGGATGCAGGATCCCCCTCACCCTCAGCACACACACACGCTTAATTGGTCCAGAATGTCATAGTTGAGAAACTTTGACATGTATGAAGTAGCTGGTGAATAGCAGAAAGATAGTATTTAATTATTAGCTGATGTGGATGTTCCAAATGCAGAAGTAGTTCAGGAAGTAGATTAGTTTGAACTGAAATGGTCTGGAAAGATTTTTTTGGAGAGAAGACTGGCTTTTAAGCCAGAAACAAAGTGCTGTACTTACAATAAAGTAAGAATACACCCCAGTTGAAGGAAATAGTTTTAGCAAAGTCCCCTAGCGTAGGCCATGGTTTCTGTGGAGCCCAAGAGGGAAAATGAATATAGCTAGAGGCAGAATCAGGGGTAGGAAGGATGAGACAATGTAAACCAGTGATGATGGATCTCTATGTCAGATTAGGAGTTTGGACTGAAGCATGAAGTATGAGTGGGGGTCTTAAGTAGAAGAGTAAAATGGTGGGTGAGTATTTTAGAAAAATTTTGGCAATAGGTGTTTTAGGAAGACAGAATGGATTAGAATGGGGAGAGGTAGCAGAGAAAAGACTAATTAAGATTCTTGAAATTATCTAAGTCTATGGTTATATCAGTTGAAATGGAAAGAAAATTAAGGCTGGCCCTGTGGTCAACATTTCATTGAGGAATTTTATGTATTTTATCAACATAAAGATATGAAACAGAGCTAAACTCTGTTTACTGAATTCTGTGAAAAGTACTATATAATGGAGGGCTTAGGGAAAGACCATAGTTAAAAATACAGTAGAGAAAAACTCAGAGAGAAAGGAAGAAAGTGGAATAATATGGTATCATAATAACCAAGAGTTTTTTAAGATGGAGGAAGTCAGCAGTATTAGATGCTACAGAGGTGAAGGTTGAGGGTTGAGAAACAGCTATTAGATTTGCTAAAAGCACTTTGTTGATGACCTCTGAAGATCCTTTTCAGTGGAAAAGTGGGGTAGAGTCACATTTCAAGGGACTAGAGTTGGTAAATAATGAAGAAATGAAGACAGTAGCTAAAAATTATTTATAGAAGAAATTTAACTATGAAAGAAAGGAGAGAAATAAGATAGTCTGGACCTAATTTCTTCTCTCTTGTGTATTGACTTCCTTTCCAGTTATAAAGGAATTGGTGGTGTCTGCTGGAAACAGTGTTCAGATTACATTACCTAAGAATGAAGTTCAGTTAAATGCATTTGTCCTTCCAGAACCAGATGCAGGTAAAACATCCACTAAGTTTGTATAGTGTTTTCATTTATAATGATATCTACATAAATTTATTTGTTCTAAAAGTCCTATGAGATTAGGATATAGCTTGCAAATGCACAAATATTTATATGATATGAGGCAGTTTAATGTTTGAGGTCATAGGCTTTGATATCAAGGTTGGATTCAAATCATAGCTCAGTCAGTCATTGTTGTTCAGTCTCCAAGTTGCATCTGACTCTCTGTGACCCCATGGACTGCAACATGCCAGGCCTCCCTGTCCCTCACCATCTCGTGAAGTTTGCCCAAGTTCATGTCCATTGAATCGGTGATGCCATACAACCATTTCATCCTCTGTTGCCCTCTTCTGCCTTCAGTCTTTCCCAGCATCAGATTCTCTCTAAGGAGTCGGCTGTTTGCATCAGGTGGCCTAAGTATTGGAGCTTCAGCATCAGTCCTTCCAATGAGTATTAAGGGCTAATTTCCTTTATGATTGACTGGTTTGATCTCCTTGCTTTCCAAGGGACTCTCAAGAGTTCTCCAGCACCACAGGTCAAAAGCATCAATTCTTCAGCTTTCTGCCTTCTTTATGGTCCATCTCTCAGATCTGTACATGACTACTGGAAAGACCGTACCCCTGACTATACGGACCTTTGTTGGCAAAGTGATATCTTTGCTTTTTAATACACTGTCTAGGTTTGTCATAGCTTTCCTGCCAAGAAGCAGTCGTCTTCTAATTTCATGGCTGCAGTCACCATTTGCAGTGATTTTAGAGGCCAAGAAGAGAAAATCTGTCACTGCTTCCATCTTTTCACTTTCTGTTTGCCATGAAGTGATGGGACAGGATGCCATGATCTTAGTTTTTTTAATTGTGAGTTTTAAGCTGGCTTTTTCACTGTCCCCTTTCATGCTCATCAAAAGGCTCTTTAGTCCCTTCTTTGCTTTCTGCCATTAGAGTGGTATCATTTGCATATCTGAGGTTGTTGATATTTCTCCTGGCGGTCTTGATTCCATCTTGTAACTCATCCAACCTGGCTTTTCTCATGATGTGCTCTGCATGTAAGTTAAATAAACCAGGTGACAATTAACAGCCTTGTCATACTCTTCTCAGTTTTGAATCAGTAAGTTGTTCCATATAAGGTTCTAACTGTTGGTTCTTGACCTGCATACAGGTTTCTCAGGAGATAGGTAAGATGGTCTGGTATTCTCATCTCCTTAAGTCATTAGCTGGATGATTTTAAGCTGATTGTTTAACTTTTCTAAGTTTCCATTTCTTTCTCAGTAGAATGAAGATAGTAATCCCTACTTCATAAGGTTACTTTAAGGGTAAAATGAAATGATATATAAGGTACCTATATACCTTAGTGCCTAGCACATAGTGGATGCTCATTAAATGTAAATTTTATTATATCCATTTAAAAGAGGAAGAAACTGAGACTCAAGTTACCCTGTTTATTTTGGCCAAACAGCTAGTAAGTAGTAGATACAAAACTTGCAGAGAAGTTATTCAAGACTACTGCTAATATAGATTTGTCACTTAAAGAAAAAAAACCAAGCCCAATGTAATATACAATATTCAGATTTATAAGATATATAAATTAGGGGATTATTAGCTTATTATTTAAGAAAACTTTTATAATATGAGCATCCCTTTCTCATGTATATGTTAGTATACCAAAGTTTGACTTACATATTTTCTCAAGACTGTGACATGAAGTAAAACATACTTTGATGGAAAATGATTGCGTTGGGGTTGTGTTACTCTCATTATAAGGTGGTCTTCCCTTGTGGCTCAGCTGGTAAAGAATCCGCCTGCAGTGTATTGGGTTCGATCCCTGGGTTGGGAAGATCCCCTGGAGAAGGGAAAGGCTACCCACTCCGGTATTCTGGCCTGGAGAATTCCATGGACTGTATAGTCCGTGGACTATATGTCGCAAAGAGTCGGACACAACTGAGCGACTTTCACTTTCACTTTTCATTATAAGGTGGGTCAAGTAGCTAGTTATAAGGCTAGTTAAACAGAATGCCATACTGTATTCAGGATGGGGTCCTTTTTAGGTCCATTTTAGGAAACATTTCTGGTACAATATCCTTACTTTCTGGGCCTATTTATGCAAAAAGTACTTTTCCAGAACCTAAATGCCCTCCGTCTCTGTTCTGTATTTCTGCCCTCAAATTGAGTTTTCCTAATCAATTCTTTCTACCTTCCTGTAAAGAACCATTTTCCTTTCCTGTTCTGGTGATGAGGTGAATGGATCTGGTGGCCTTTGAAGATGCAGGTGAGGAAAGAGCTGCTTTGAGCTACAGTTACTTCCACTCTTTTCTGAAAGATATCCTGGCTCTACTGTATTTTCTTTTCTTACCCCTATTTGCATGTGGGTGAGTTAACATCACCTGTATATCAGTCTTCCAAAACACATCAGTTCAAAAACAGATTCTTTCAACTCTCCTTTTCCCAGTTTCTTCAGCCTTTATCTGGTGGTACATGAGCTGGATAGTCTCAAACTTTCAAAGGTTGGGGACAGTGAGGCAGGACCAGCTCTTCCCGTTCATCCCCCTCGTCTTCTTTGGCAACCCTGAAGCGCCTCTCAGGATCCCTCTGGGTTCAGAGGCATGGATTGAAAACCACTGCCCTAAATCATTGAAACCAGCATTCTGTCTAACACACCTACACTCCGATGTTCCTATCCTTGGGCAAATTCCTGTCTGTAAGGCATAATTCATCCCCCTGAACTTTTCTGTCCTAGGAATATCGTCATATTTTGAAATCTGTGTTGCTAGCCTTAGATATGAGAAAATTGTCAGTTCCTAAACTAGTGTGAGTCTGTTTTCTGTGTGGAAAAATTTTTTCTAACTACAGTTCAAGAAATGTCATCTCTTAGCACCAGTCCTACTTCTCCTACTTCTTCCCTGCTCCTCACCTCACCCAATTTTTACATCTACATTTATTAGAGCTGCCTGGGTCTGACAATTGGCTAAAACATAGCCAGTATTTTCTGGAGGAAGAAAGAGTAGAAGATCTTATATCTCAGGCTTATAAAGTAAAATCTCGTCTTAAGTCTGTTTGGAATTAAGCTCTATGTGTTAACTTCAACTTTTGAACTCATGAAATAAAAAGATGACCATTCTCTGTAAGCATTTGAGGCTTTTTATTTTTCCTTTTATTTTTCCCTTTTTGGGTAGTAACTTAAATTAAACCTTCCTACCAAATCTCACCCTTTCCTAGCCATTAAATGCATTTTATTCCCCAAAATATTTAAGACAACTTTAACTGGGGAGGAATTCCACTTAGATAACAGGATTCCATGGTCACTCTAGATAGTCATATAGTCTAAGTTGCAAATGAGGACCATTTAATGCTTCATGTGATCTTAATTAATTTCAGTGGGCCCTGTTTTTAAATGGGCCATTCCCTACCACCTTCTGCAGTGTGTTATTTAGCTCAGCAGGAATGAAGTAGCTCTTTTAACTCACCAGGGTGTGATGACCTCAGTGAGACGAGCATTGTTAGCACTCTGTAAAAAGCTATTTTTGAACCATGTTATTTAGAAGTCATTGCTGTTCTTTGTTGCCTAAGAAGTTTTGCAAGAAAATGGCCTTTGTTCCCAATGAGTTCATCCGTAGTGGTTGGTAGGGCATGTGTTTTCACTGGGTGCCACACCGTGAGCAACTTGGTATTTTAGGGGAGGATTGGTCCAAAGCAGGGTGGGTATGGGGCAGGAGTGAGCTTGGCTGGGGGGAAAGTGGAAGAAGCCCTGACTGTAGCCATCAGCAGAATCTACCCTTCCTTTCAACAGAATGTTTGGTTTCGCTTTGGCATTAGGGTGAAATCTTGAAAACTAAGTTCTTGTCAAGACTAGAAAAATTTTGTTATTGGCAGGCTATGTGGCTGCCCTCTTTGTGTGTAGGTTTGTGTTTTCATGATTTTTGTAACTGCCCTTCCATAGGAGAAACCTACACCTACGACTGGCAGTTGATTACTCATCCTAAAGACTATAGTGGAGAAATGGAAGGGGAACATTCCCAGATCCTGAAGCTGTCCAAGGTGAATTTGCCTCCTGTCATTTGCAGGGATGGGGTAGAGGTCTTGACGATTTTCTAAAATGTATAATATAGAACTTTCTGTCCACACTAAAGTTAGGAACAATCTTTCAGAAGTGAATCCTCCAAAAATCTGGTTGGCTGACGTCCAGTATTTGTTAGTGTATGATTCTCAAATTTTCATTTATGGTGAGAATATAAGCATAGTGGTGATAGCTGAAAATATACACTAAACAGCTTTTAAGGGTAACATAAGGATTTTAAAATTTGAGAGATAAGCTAGGTTATTTGTGGCCATATGACTGTGTAAATTGGCTCAGTCTTTTTTGGGATTCTGTATAGTTATTAAGAGCCATAAAAATGTTCATATTTTTTGGCCAAGCAATTTCTCTTTCTGTCTTTCTTTTAACAACTGTTCATTGTACATTAGTTATGTGGTAAGAATTGGAGTTTTACTAGTTTCTAATCATAATATTAATATTTATGGGAAATAGAGTCTAGTAGGTGCTACTGACTGAAGCAGGTAATTACAACAGGGATACACTGGGTCAGTGTAGGGGGTATTGAATCCCCAGGGAGTTAGAGTAGATTTGTTAAGAGAGTTGGCCTGGTTGGGTCATGGAATGTGACTGGCTTACTGGATAAAGGTTGGAGTGGTAATACACCCAAGTAGAGGAAGGAATGTGTCCACTGGGCCAAATGATAGAGGAAATACGGGGAAAAGCGAATTACATGTGGTTCATCCTGACTGGACCCCATGGCATGAGAAGAGCAGTGGCACAAATGAGTTGGAGGGGTGTCGGGGCCAGATTGCACAGAGACTTGTGTGCTAGAAGAAGGACTTTGATTCTTATCCAGAGGGAGCCCTTGAAAGGTTTTAAGCAGGAGAATGACATGTTCAGGTTTTCAGTTTAGAGAGCTCACCCTGACTGCAGATTGGAGGAGAGAAGGCTCACACTGGGGACACGGTGAAGAGTCTGTTGAGACATGTAGGCATGAGATTAATAGTGTGTGTGAAAAAAGCAAGTAATATAAGCCTTACAAACCACCCATTGAGCTCTTTCCATGTGCTAGACACAGTGCTAATTGTTTTATGCAATTATTTCATTTAATCTTCCTAACAACCCCAAATGTAATAGTAATATCTGTTCTACAAATGACGAAGCTAAAAATTAGAAGAATAAAGTGGTTTGGTCTAAGTGCACAGGCTATTAAATGGTAGATTCGAACTGGAATTTTCCATCTCTGAAGCCCATGCTCTTAACAACTGTGCTATCATGAATGGTTAAAAACTAAGGTGGTGAATAGTGTGAACAGAGAAAAGTGGGTGGATTTGAGAAATATTATGGAGGTCAATCTGGTGATCAGTTAATTGGATGGAGGTGTTGGGGAAGAGCGGTCTAGGATAATTTTAGCCTTTTGGCCTAGGAACTGACTGGATGTTGGTATATTTGTGACAGTATTCACTGAAATGAGAAGTATAGAAAGAGGAGCAGGTTCGGAGGAGATTTGCAGATGATTAATTCATTTTGGGACAAAGTGAGTTTGAGGAACCTGTGAAACATTTGAGTGGAAGTGACCAGTATGTAGCTGAGGGTAAGGGGCTAGAGATCAGGATGCAGGTCTGGGCTGCAGAGATAAATTTGTACATCAGCATCAAATAGATGACAACCAAAGCCATGGTAATAGATAAAATCATCCAAAGACTATATACAGTGAAGAAGTAAATGGATTACAATTGGGGTCCTGGGAGACACAGTCATTAAAGGTATGGAAGGAAGAAGAAATGGGAGAAAATGAGGAGTAGGCACAGAAGTGGGAAGTTGAGGAAGGGGAGCATTACAGGAAGAAGGAAGTGATCAGAAATGCTACATGCATTCGATTAGCATGTACCCAAAGGAGATAATTCAAAAGAAAAAAACCATTTTACTTGAAAGATATTCATCACAGCATTAGTTATAATATTTAAATTTTGGAGATAGCTCAAATATCCAACAATATGAAATGCTTATGTGAATTATGGCACATTTATTCACGTACTATTCTGCAGCCATTAAAATGACTGTTAAAGAGACCATTCTAATGGGAAAAGTGCTCATGCTAAACGAATTGAAGAAAGAACAATAAAAAGTTTGATACATACCCTGATTTTAGCTAGGCCCTGAATACTGCTGAAATAACCAGCTCCTTGAAGGCAGGGACCTTGCCTTATTCATCTCCAAACTCCAAGCCTAGAACAGTGACCATATACAATTGATTCTCAATAAATGTTTGCTGAACAAATGAACTGTTTATAGCTCTTTCTTCGTGTGTGTGGTAAAAGATTAGACAGATATAAGAAAAATATGATTAATTGGGGTATTAGGACAATGGGATTGTGAGGTTTTTGTTTTGTTTTTTTATGTTCATACAGTTAGTAGAAATCAGGAGGGGAAAATATTCAGGTATTTGAGAGCTATTTGGTGTTTCTACAAAATGTTTTTCTTTGCAGAGTTGATTGTTTTAATTTCATAACTGAAGTAGGATGGTTGGGCCCTTAATGTTCTTCTGGAAAGAAAATGGGAGTGCAGAGATACTGAAATCCCTTCTGTTGTTCAGAGTCAGCTAGTAATAAGATTCACATTGAAAGCTATGGTTTTTCAGTTTCTAATTCATTGTTTCATATCTTCAGCTAGTTTACTTTCTCCATTTTGGAAATGGTGCAAGAACAGGAGTATGCAAGAATCAGCATTGAAAAATTTAGGTATACATGCTATTTTAAATATAATTGCTGCTGTTTGTGGTTTTCTAAAAGATCTTCTCTCACTTCTGCAGCTCACTCCAGGCCTTTATGAATTCAAAGTGATTGTAGATGGTCAAAATGCTCACGGCGAAGGCTACGTGAATGTGACAGTGAAACCAGGTGTGTTTCCCAGCCCCAGCCCTGTCTCCCTTGCACCCACTGCAGGATTCCCAAGGAGATGGAGGTTTCACTTTAGGGGTCTTAAATTCTCATTCCTTTTTGGTAATATATTTCACATATTGGGCAATTCCTAGTTCAGTGTAGTAAAAGGTTAGCCTGGTGAAGTGTATGTAGTTTGATTCTAATTGGCATACCTGGCTGGGCAGGGAAAAGTTGGTCACATGGCCCATAGTGTAGTGTGGCCTACCTCCTTGAGAATTACTTCTCCAAGTGGGTCATGCTGAGAGAGAACCATGTGTTGTAATTAAGAGACACAGGAAGGGCAGGAGCCTGGGAGAAGCATGTCTAAAGAGAACCAGGCCAGTGGCAGGCTCTGTCTGATCTCTTTCCAGAAATGTGGGCTTTTGCACACAGAATTCCTCATTTAAACCCTGCCAGTCCTCTTTTATCCTGAAAGCCAAATCTCATCATCCTTTTCAAGTGATCCACTAGCGCCTCCCTTGTGGCTCAGCTGGTAAAGAATCTGCCTGCAATGAGGGAGACCTGGGTTCAATCCCTGGGTTGGGAAGATCCCCTGGAAAAGGGAAAGGCTACCCACTCCAGTATTCTGGCCTGGAGAATTCCACGGACTGTATAGTCCATGGGGTCGCAAAGAGTCGCACATGACTGAGTGACTTTCACTTTCATTGGTAGATTACAGTGCATTAGCAAGGTATCTTGTTTTGCATTTTCAGAAAAATTTGGGGGTAGTTGGAAAGTGACACATACATTGGCACAAATTCTTAATACTGTTTTCTATCTTTGTTGGTAAAGGTTTTCTTTTCCTTCCTTGAACTGTGTAGCCAAAGTAATCCCTTCACCTTCTTAAATATGTGTTAAGCATAAAGACTGTTTGATCATTTCTCAAAGAGGAGGCTGCTGGGTTTATAGCTCACATTCATGAGAGTGGACTGAAGTGTCTGTTACCTTCCCAGTACTCAGGCCTAATTATCTCACACACAATCAGCTCAGGGATGGTGGAGAAATCACCCATTATTTTTTTCACACAGTCTGTGCCAAGAGATAGTTTGCTTGCCAAGTCCTTTATTGCACAAAGCTTGTTTGTTGTCCACCTCTGTTCAGCTTGCCTGAAAGCAGTCAGTTGCTGCTATAGTACTTATGATATACTAGATAGTGCATGAGCATTGAAAGTATGCACATGGCCTTAGCAGTCATCAGGTTTCCCAGAGGTTTCAACAATCCCGGGTGTGTCAGGTTAGAACGTTAACCTGATCTTGAGACTTTCCCATTTGGCGATGCTCAGCTCTCCAGTTATGTAATGGAAACTGACATATCCTGCACTCAGATATGACCTGCTTCTCCTGTGATATAGTTTATGAAGCCCTTCTCCCAGTTTCTTGTGGGTCGTTTTTGCAGAGCCCCGTAAGAATCGGCCTCCTGTTGCCGTTGTGTCGCCGCAGTACCAGGAGATCTCCCTGCCGACCACTTCTACAGTCATTGACGGCAGCCGTGAGTACACGTCTCAGCATGACGGTTTGGAAGGGCATTCGCTGTGTACTCTAGTAAGAGGTTTGCAGCCAGCTGTGTCTGAGTACTGTTTAGACCAGTCCTCTTGGCCATGCTATGGGAAGACCAACTGTCTGAAGCAATCTGTTAGGGAGTAAAACCTAAACAGGCCCTTTTTAAAATCCCCATGTGGCCCGACTAAAGTAATAGTTCTTCTCTGAGATGGTAAAAAAAGTAGTAGTATTCATGTACTTTGCGTTATATTAATTGAAGCTTGCTGATTTTCAAATTTGCTTGCCTGGAGTTGCCATTCTTAGTTATGAAAACAAAGCTCCTTCCTATCTGTCATGGCAAGATAAGTACCTGCAAGTCTTGACAAAGAGCTCTCACTTAGCCATCACTGCCTAACAAGATTCTTGTCAGCCTTCTCCTGGAGGGACTCAGAATGTTCCCCCCACCTCTGCCTAGGCTCATTATTAACATTTTACCCTTCAGAGTAGTGTCACCTGATGGGTAACATGAGAGGATTTCTGGGTCTTGGCTGTGTGTGTGCACAAGAGGTTCAGGCCTGGCATCTCACCAGTGTTCACTTGGTTTCTTTTGAGACCCATTAGGGTCCAGTTACCCTGACTGTCTTGGCACCACCAGTGGTTTCTGGTAGAGGCAGTCACTGCTTAGCAGAGGAATCTCTGGCAAGGTTAAACATTTCGTGTAGATGCTTCTGGCAAGCAGAGGAGGATGGAAGAGTAGCAGGCCAAAAGGAAGAGACAGGACAGAATGAAGCGCTTTTGAGAGTGGCAGGAAGAGTTCACTTAGCACCATCTGTGTCATAGTTTGAGTAGGTCAGAGCTCAGTAATGCCCAGGGGCGCGCAGTGAAGAGTCATCATTGTCACCCCTGTCTCCCAGCCGTCCAGTTTTCCTCCAGACGACAACTGGCAGTATCTTATGCATCTTTCCAGAGATACTTTAGTGTTTATAAGAAAATCCACGGTCTGACAACACATTACACACGAAATTATGTACAGTGATTGCTTCTGTATGTTGGAGAGCTTTTCTGAATTAATACATGCAATACTTCTTCACTCTTTTTTTCTTTTAATGATTACGTAGCCTTCCATTATATGAATGCATAATTTCATTGTATAAATATATACTTGTTTTCAGTCAGTCTCTATTGATGACCATTTAAATTATTTTTGATTTGCTTTTAAAATAATATTACCATGAATAATCTTATAAGCATGATAGTTAACACAAATATTAAATGTTCTACAGATATACAGCACAAGTGCAAGTATATATATAGGATTAAGTTCCTCAAAGAGGTATTGCAGGGACAAAGATAAATTTTCCCAAATTGCTGTTTATAGAGGTTTCAATTTATGCTTCCACTATGACATTATGAGGGGTTCTCTTCCCCCACACCTTTACCCATATAATTTGTTAGGAAATTTTGGTGTTTACCAGTTAGCTAGGTTAAAAAGTGCTGTGCTAAGTGTAAATTTCCTTTTAAGTAGGTTTAATCACTTTTGATTTTACTTTTTTTATACAGTAACATTTTAATGAGAGGTTGCCTATGTTGGAGTCCTTGGAAAACTATTCAGTGGAATATTCATAGAGAGGCAGAATGACCCAGTAATCCTAGGAAAGAAACACTCTGGAGAGATAGTCTGTAATTTCATGAAGTTTTTCTAGACTTTGCTAAACTCATGAAGTTTTCTTAAACACAGTGAAGAGACAGTCTGTAATTTCATGAAGTTTTCCTAGTAGTTGCCCTGGTTTGTGTAAGCTGGATAAATGCTGAGACCCAGTGCTCTCATGTTGTAACTGATATTTCTTTATGACCAAGAAAGCACTGATGATGATAAAATTGTCCAGTACCACTGGGAAGAACTTAAGGGACCTCTGAGAGAAAAGAAGATTTCTGAAGATACCGCCATATTAAAACTAAGTAAGCTCGTTCCTGGGAACTACACTTTCAGGTAAATTTGGATCCTTCAAGCTTACCGTAGGCCATTTTTTACCCCCTTGTGAGTTTTGCATTATTAAAAGAGTAGCTCTGACAGATATCAAATTCCCTGTAGAGTTGATTGGTAATATAACCTTTGGTTCCATTGGTTCTTTATGCCATGTGGTAATTGTGGTCAAAACAGTGATAACTTTTTAGGGCAAAGGTCCTTGCATAATAGATCAGGATCCACACAGCTAATCCCTCTCAGAGCCATACTTGGCATATACCCAGACCTTTTTATGGAATTTCTGTCATAAACTAGACCATCTTCCTTTGCCTTTTCTCAGGAAAATTCTGTAAGGAATCTACTCTCATTTCTTCCCTTTGGGAAATGCTTCCTCAGCTTCTGAGATCTCAAAATCCTTACTTTTGACTAATTGTTTATTTGAATATAATCTGTGGGATCTTTCTCTATTGGGGACTTTTCAGAGAATATGATTCAAAGTCCGTTCTTTTGGGAACTAGCATTGATATACTAGACTGTGATTAGCAAGTATGAGGCTGATTCTAGAGTAATCTTCCTTGTGTTTGCATTATTCCTGTATGCTGCAAAGCGCTTGTACCCGAGTGTCACACAAACACCATGTGTACACTATGCTATCCTTATTTCACAGCTGAGAAAAGTGAGGCTGACTGCTGACTTCTCTGAGGTCACACAGCTAGAGCTGAAATGCAGACTTTCTAACCCCACGGTCAGGGCTTGTTCCACTCTGCTGCTTCACTTGACCTGTGTGTGTTTTCTCTGCGCTTCGGTGAATGCTCTTCTCGGTCTTTCAGGGTTCTGCCTCTCTTTAAGGGTCTCCTCCGTTTTCAGCGAGGCTCTTGGAGGTCCCTTCAGAGAGGAGCAGTCTCCTCACTCCCCGTTACACTCAGTGACTGGGTGTGGTGCTTGCCCCGGTGCAGCAGCTTGCTCACAGGTGTGTGTCCTCCCTGCTGGACCTGAGATTGGTCACATCTGAGACTCTACCAGAGACGCAGCAAGGAATGTCCTAGCACAGCACCTGCCATATAAATAAACGAGTTCTGACTTAGCAGCTCTCTCACTGACTCCACACTTGAAGTGAATGAAGGGTATCTGCCATTACAACAAGATAGGAGCCTTCTCATTGGCTTAAAATGGAAATATGAGTTGGTTTTTGCCTTGAATTTCTAATATAGGAACTTTAATATTTATGGAATTTAGCCTGGGCCATGTGATCCTTTTTGAAATAGTAACAAAAATAGCTACTGCTTCTTGAACATTTACTGTGTCTTTAGTACTGTTCAGAGCTCTTTGCACGCAGTAGCTCATTTGATCCTTGTAACTGATATTATAATTATTCTTATTTTACAGATTAGGAAATACAGTCACAGAGGTTAAGTAACTTGCCCAAGGTCACATAGGCTGCTGACTCAAGTCTGAGCTTTTAACCACAGTTCAACCTAGAGCATTTCAGGTCAATGGGTGCAGTTCTGTTTTTCTAAGCCTCAGTCCATAAAAACATGGAATTGGGTTTGACTAGCATTAAGGTCCACTTTGTTTGATTCCACTTACCTTTTCTTGTCCCCTGCTTTTACATGGCAGTGGCCTCTTTCCCCATCCCTGTGGTCATCTGCTGTTTGGTTCCAGGATTTTTACATGCAAGCCAGGGACCGTCTAAGGTGAAAGAGTAACGGGCATTTGCCACTTTGCATCTGTCTAGAAATTGCTTTTGTTCTGAAAGAGAAGACAAATAAGATATGTTTTTAAAAAATAAAAAACTGAAAACAGGGAAACTGGAAAAAGAGGACAACTTATGTGGATTTTTCTTTTTCAGGTATTTGCTGATTTGCACATGTCTGTGTGTGATGTTTCTGTGTTCTTTTTCTCAAGGCTGTAATAATCAGAAATCCCTTTAAGACCATAGGTAAAAAGTGAGATTGTGGGATTAAAAACCCACAGATGTCTGGCTCTTTCTGTGGCTGGTGGTGAGATTTAAACAAACGACATGTCTTTTATATGCTTTTCCTCTTTCTGTCAGCAAAATGGAAGGAGCCCAAACCTCCTTGCTTGCTTATGCTCACATTTTGAGGTGGCAAGAGAAGCTTTAGGCTGTTCAGCTGGAAGGCATCATTTAGGTAAAAGCCTGCTCTTATAAATGAACATTTTTTTTTTCCTCTTGCAAATTCTCTTTCACACTGGCACAAACTGTGGGACTGTTGCGTAGGAGACTCATTTCCATCTCAGGCTCCTATCTTACTGGAGCCAGCCTTCCCGGTCCATCCTAGAGGCGGTCTGCCCAGGAAGTCCATTCTCGCGCTGCATACACAGCCAAAACAGGATGATTGGAGGAGAGCCTGCTGCAGTCAGAGCTTGCTTTATTTAGTGTAGCGTCTTTGAACCTCAGGGATAGGGGCTGGGAATTACTACTTCTTAAGACTTGATTCTGGGCTTTGGAGTCAGAGCACTGGGCTTGCACCTTGACTCACTATTTAGCTCTGGGCAAGTTTCTTAACCTCTTAAAGACTTGTATAATTGTGAGGTTGACGGTACCACTTTCTGTGTGATTGTTGGGAGGGCCATATCAGATAATGCTTATAAAGGTCCCAGCCACAGACACATGCAGGCAGCAGAGTGAAACGGTGTAGAGATGTATTGTCTAGATTTAGATCCTGACTGCACTACTGTCAAGCTTTCAAGCTTGGGCAAGTTACTTGATCTCTTTCTACCTTGGTCTCCTCATGTGTATAGGGAGCGAAATAGGGACAGTACTTTGTAGATCTGTTGAGGATTAAGTGAGATACAAAGTGCTTAGAACAGTGCCTGCCGCACAGTAAACCCTCAGTCAGCATTAGTTTCTAGCATTATCCTGACTCTCTAGAAAAGAGTGGGTTTGAATTGATTGCCACCTGGTAACCCTGCCACTTTGCTGTTTTCTAGCCTTGAGTTCTAGTTCTTCCACGTTTATTCCTCTCTCTTTAAGCCCATCCCCGACGCCACTTCGCTCTCTGTCCTGACAGCTTGACTGTAGTAGACTCTGATGGAGCTACCAACTCCACCACTGCAAGCCTGACTGTGAACAAGGCTGTGGACTACCCCCCTGTGGCCAATGCAGGCCCCAACCAAGTGATCACTCTGCCCCAGAACTCCATCACCCTCTTCGGGAACCAGAGCACTGATGATCATGGCATCACCAGCTACGAGTGGTCGCTCAGCCCAAACAGCAAGGGGAAGGTGATGGAGATGCAGGTAGGAAGGAAGAGCACCTATCTGTTCTTGCCCAGGGGAATTAGAGCTGCTGGACTGGGTCACCCATCCAAGGCTTATTTTTCTCCATCTTAATAATGAAAGTCAGATTAGTACATAGGACATTGATTTTTTTTTTTTTTTAAAGAAAGGTTACAGGGCCTTCAGTTAACCCATTAGCAAAAACTTTTATCTTAAATATTTAGTATTAGAGGAAAAGACTGATAGCTGTTCTTGGATAATTTCAGGGAGTCAAATTCTTTAGAAACTGCAATGGTAGAAATCTTTTTTATTTTTAAATCAAATTTTTTTTGGCATATAGTTGCTTAACAATGTTGGGTTAGCGTCTGCTGAAGAGTGCACATCTTGAAAGTGAAAGCAAATGTAAAAGTCGCTCAGTCATGTCCAACTCTCTGCGACCCCATGGGCTATACAGTCTGCAGAATTCTCCAGGCCAGAATGCTGGAGTGTTTAGCCTCCCCCTCCTCCAGGGGATCTTCCCAACCCAGGGATTGAACCCAGGTCTATCTGCAGGTAACACTGCACGCCTGCAGTGTGGGAGATCTGGGCTCGATCTCTGGATTGGTAAGTTCCCCTGGAGGAGGGCATGGCAGCCCACTCTGATATTCTTGCCTGGACAATTCCCATGGACAGAGGAGGCTGGTGGTCTACAGCCCATGGGGTCGCAGAGAGTCAGACACGACTGAGCGACTGAGCACAGCACAGCACATCTTGGTGAGCTCTGTTAAAAACTGGAGTAGATCGCCTGACTGGACGGTGAGCATCTTCTCTGAAGATATTTAAGAAGAGACTCGGTCAGTCAACAGGCAGGTAACTAAGTGAAGAAAACTGGGTGAGGGCTGTGGCAAACTGGACAACATAAGCCCTGACTAAAGGGCTCAGCAGCCCCTCACGTTCAGCTGGTTGCTGCCACTTTGGAGTACGGTCCCAGTGTTGTCACATCCTCCAGCTTTTCAAGAGAAGACAAGTCTAGACTTTTACATGAACTTTCCCAACTTTAAGACCCTAAGACCAAATAAAATGCCTGCAAGCTGGATTCAGCTCAGAGGCTGCTAGGTTTTGCCTACTGTCCTAGAAGTTCCTGCATTGGCAGTTGACTCTAAATTATCTGTAATATCCCTTTTGACACTCAGGAGTCTTATGTTTTCATATTTGAGGCATGACTTAAAGCTCACATTTCATCCGGCTTTAGTTTAAGTATTATATGAGGTTCTCTGCTGTCACAGAATCGGTTGAGACCTGTAAGGGGACAGCACAGCATTACAAAGCATCTTGAGTTGTTGCTGCCGTGTTTGATTGAGGCAGCTTTGTTAGGCATCACACTTTGTTAGAACACTGTTTTTTAAATTGTGTTATTTTGTTATATGTTCATGGTCTTTTTGGCTTGAGTCATAGAAATGGATCTTGGTTATCTCTGCACATTTTCCTGTACTCCCTTCCCTTGTGAGAGCTCTGACTTTATTTGAAACTGTTGCTGTGTCAGAGGGTTATTCCCTTGAAGGGTCAAGCGTTTTTAACAAGATGTTCCTTAGTGTCTGAGTATTCACTAATTGGAAGGTGGTGGCCCAGTACCAACCTAGGTTTAGAAAACTGGGTAGATCGTGTAGACCAGAGGAGGACTTACTGTGTGGTATGATTCTGAGAGGCCACTTCTCTGTATTTATTCATTCAGGGGGTTAGAACACCGACCCTGCAGCTTTCTGCCATGCAAGAAGGAGACTATACTTACCAGCTCACAGTGACTGATACAATAGGACAGCAGGCCACCGCTCAAGTGACTGTTATTGTGCAACCTGGTGAGTTCTGACCTTGTGGCAGGCTCTTCTGTTGGCTGGTCCTTTGACCCTTGGGTCAGAAGAGGGCTTGGGTTCTGAGCTATATGAGGGTAGAAGTGGGAGTTACGCATCTACCATCCCCCGGCAACTTCGATTGTCCCTTCCCCTGGTACCTTCTTCATAGGCACAGAGAAAGAGTATTTCACAGCCTGATTTGTGCCCTTGCTCTGGTTACTGTGTCTTCAGGGGGAGCCAGCAGATGGTCTCTGCCATCCCAAATCCTTTTTCTTTTTTTTGATCCACCTTGCAGTTTGCAGGATCTCAGTTCCTTGACCAGGGATTGAACCCAGTCCACAGCAGTGAAATCCTAACAGACCTAGACCACTAGGGAACTCCTCCTCCCATGTCCTTTAAGGGCCAGCTTAAAGCCTACTTCCTCAAGAAAACCCTTCCTTATCTCTCAAGCCCTTTCATTTAAACTCCTATAGTATTATACTTCAAATTTAGCATGGCGCTGTAACTTCATTATGTTCTGCCATGTTCTTTCCGAGTTGTTTTATATGTTTTGGTCTTATATTCTTCATTGTGAGCTCCCTGACCTTACCTCCCTTACCTCCCACAGTATCTGAAAGTTCTGTGGGTGGAGAGGCAGAGTCCTTGAGGCTTCCAGAACATATGTCCCAGTTGGTTCCTCTGTTTTCCCAGCTGGACTGCCTGCTTTTGACCTCCAAGTCTCTGTCTTCTAGAAAACAACAAGCCTCCACAGGCAGATGCAGGCCCAGATAAAGAGCTGACTCTTCCCGTGGATAGCACAACCCTGGATGGCAGCAAAAGCTCCGATGACCAGAAAATTATCTCATATCTTTGGGAAAAAACACAGTGAGTACTGACACGAAACCCTTGTGTTTGCAAAGGCACCAGACCTTTGAAGAGCTAGGTTTTACTTGCCTTTAAGAGTTTACTTTCTTATTAGCTTATCCAAGGGGGATTACTGAGAAAGAAATGTTTGCAGTCCCAAACTTCAGCTCTAAGGAAATGATATAATTTTTATAAGAAAGAAAGAGAATGCTTACCATCAACTGTCCCCAGGTAGTACTTTGTGGTTCTGGTGCTGTTACAGGTACAATCTGTCTGCTGAAATGCATAGTTTAATTACACTTGAGAGGCAGGATGGAAGGGGTAATGAAGCAGAAAAGTACCGTTGCTCAGAATTAACTGGGCAAGGCTGGCGGCGGGGATGGGGCGGAGCAGCTGTTAAGGAGAACTGGAAATTCATCTGCAGAATGAAGCATTACTCTGTTATTGTTTCCTTGAAGACACCAGTTACCACTTAAGTTAGCCAGAGGCCAAAGGCAGTAACTGAAATAATACTAATTAAATTGGAACTTCCTAATCGAACCATTCCTGGTTCTCAGTTTCTTTCATTTCCTTTAAGCCATGACAAAAGGAACTCGGGTTATATGCAGGATCCCACAGGAAGCAAAAGAATTCCAAGAAAGAGTTAAAAGCATTCTCAGTTTCCAAAGATAGCAGCCATAAGAGAGACTGGGTTTTTTGGTTTTGGTTTTGACTGGGACGTTAGAAATGGGTGGGTAAGGGCTGTAATTTGACTTGAAAAGCACTTGACTTATGATTGGTGAGTTGGAGTCTAGAAATTATTTTGCTTAGCTTTTGTTTCTTTCTTTTAGAGAACCTAATTTTCCTCAACCTAGCATGTTTTAATTATAACTGTTTGTTGAAGATACAGCAGATAAACCGTTTAGTTGAGTTTTATTAGTGTTTACAGCAGAAGTAATGCCTAGCATGGCTTCTTGGAGGCGAATCTGTTTTAAGAGGGGCGGCTGGGGTCACGGTTATACGTTTAAAACAACACAAGAGCAAAAACCCTGGGAGTGTGCAGCTTTCTCTGGCTGTCCCTTGGTCTTAAGGAAAGCTCTGAGGCGTTTTGGCCCTTGAGCAGAAGGGCTGTCTGCTGTGTGTAGTGTTGTGCCTGCATGTTGGCGCAGAGCTCACTCCTCTGCCACAGGCTCCTTGTGAGGCCGCCAGGGACAAGGAAGATACCGGCGTTCTGGGCCCTCTGTGGCCCCTGTCTAGGAGCGGGAGGGAGTTTTGCTTATGGAGCTGCTGTGCTGAGAAGAGGATGATTTTTCCCTGAGCGCTGTCTGCAGCCTTGGCCTATTTCCTCTCCCTGACTTTTCAGCAGGAGGGAATTTGGCGTGTGATTAAGAAATGCATTTTGCTTCTTTGCTGGCAAGAGGTGAACCAACTACTGGGCCAGAAATGCTTTTCAGAAACATGACTCTTAAATCATTCTTTTGATCAGAGACTTGCTCAGAGCACTTTCTTCCTTTTGTAAACTGGAATAGCACAGAGTTTGGATATTCTAGAAGCTCTCATAAAGGATAAGGCTAAATGTATCTGAAAGCAGGTGAATGGAATTTTCTGATCAGCAGGTAGCTTGTATTTTTGGGGCCAGATGACACTCTGTCCAAATGGAATATTTTTAAACATGCCCTCTTGAGGTGAAGGAAACAATAGTTCATGTCTTAGCTGAGGCAGTAATTGTCTGCTCCTGCTGAGTCGGGGACAGGAGAACAGTAGACAGGTGCAACTCCTCCCTCTGGTTTCTTTGTCTAGGGGACCTGACGGGGCACAGCTCGAGAATGCTAACAGCAGTGTCGCCACTGTGACTGGGCTGCAAGTGGGAACCTACGTGTTCACCTTGACTGTCAAAGATGAGAGGAACCTGCAAAGCCAGAGCTCTGTGAATGTCATTGTCAGAGAAGGTATATCTTGCCACCTTGGGTTGGTACAGCAGCCTCTGGGTCAGATAAGTAAAGAATCCATCATCTCTTGTTTGTTTGAAGAATTGATTAGAGACAAAAGGTAGAGAAGAAAGTCAGGGGTAAGGGCAGCTGTTATTTGCTTTTCTAAAACAGTCTTTGATTGAGTGGCTTTTAAGGTAAATTTTAGCTCCTTGTTTTCCCTCCCTCCCTTCTTCCCTCCTCAGTTGAACAGGAAGAGAATTAAGGTTTTTTCCCTTTGCATTTTTATTTTATCTCTGCTGCTAAGTCCCTGGGTCTCTGTAACTCTCCTGCTAGCTACAGTGACACCTGCTGTCCAACCATAGAATGACTGCCCCGCACTATTGCTTCCTGTGCTTCTCCTGGGAGCCTGCACGTTGAGGCCAGCTTAACAGGAGTGGCTTAGCCTTGCTGTGGTGTGCAGGCACGAAGATCAGTAATGGTCTTGGGAGAGGCCCATAAGCTGATAGTGGGAAAAACTATCGGATAGGCAGATGGCCCCCCAACACAGTACTCGGAACGCAGCGACTGGAGAGTACACACTGAGGAAACCCTGCGTGGGGCCCGGGTAAGGAAAGTGTCCTCTCCTTTCCCCCTTTTAAAGTGCTAAGGAAGGGGTCAAAAAAAGATGTTCAGAAAATAACATTTTAAGCCACATTTTGAAGATAATATGTAGTATCAGCTGATGAAAGCTGAACTTCAGGGCTTTAACCACTTTAGGCCTTTGTTTCCAATCATCTTCTGTCACCAAAGCAGAGAAATGGATTCCTTCCAGGGAGGCAGCTGTGAGAATTTAGGAAGAAGCTGTACTTGTCGTCTCTGCTGGACCGTGTCAGGGAACGTTTCTCTGGGTGGCACTGGTGGTGGTAACCCTACACTGTTCATTGCTGGTGTGGATAAACACTTAACATGGTTCTTCAGTCAGGATGTTTTTGATGTTTAATTTTCTCACAAGCACCATGAAGAAGCATTTCTTTCTTTTCTGAATGATACATTTTTTTCAGTTGTTTCTCTTTGTTTAGAAATGAACAAAGCACCTGTGGCCAAGATAGCCGGGAACGTGGTGATCACCTTGCCCACCGACACAGCAGAACTGGACGGCTCCAAGTCCTCAGATGACAAAGGAATAGTCAGCTACCTCTGGACCCGAGATGAGGGGAGCCCAGCAGCAGGGGTAAGCGTGCCCGGAGGTGGAGAGCTCCACGGGCCAGGTGGGGAGACGGGGAGAGGGGCTGAGTCAAGCACTCCAGGACCTGTTTTAACCAAGTGGTCTCTTGTGTCAAACCTGGATTGTGCTCTGAAATCCAGGGAGATTAAATGACTTGCCTAGGGTCACCCCTCAAACTCATGTGGAACAGAACGTAATTCTGTTCTCTGATCCTCATCACTGTGGGTTGTGATGCCCTCACAGAGCAGGAACTCAAAGCCATCTACCCAGAGGGGGCTTAGCTATGACAGACGCAGCTGACTCCCATGCAAGGAGTATGGTTTTGTTCTGCAATATTGCCGTATCGTTCCACCCCACAGGAGGTGTTAAATCACTCTGACCACCACCCTGTCCTCTTTCTTTCCAACCTGGTCGAGGGAACCTACACGTTTCACCTGAAGGTGACGGATGCGAAGGGTGAGAGTGACATAGACCGGACCACGGTGGAGGTGAAACCTGGTGAGTTCATTTAGTGAGGAGCCGGAGTGGAGTTGCTGGGTCAGCCCAGCAGGGCCTGGATCCTGAGACCCTTCCCCCACAGCATGGACAGAGCCAGGTGGCATATCCAGCTTTAAAACAATCTAGAATCCCCAAGCTAAGAACTGTAGAGACTCTCTGTTCCACCAAGACCTCTCCTACGCACACAGAAACGTGGACCTCCCCTGCTCAACTCAGACGGAGAAACAGAAGCTCAGAGAGGGCAGGGCTTGCTCAGCTTCACACAGCCGTTGTGTCAGAGCCAGGCCTTTGGACCCCTGTGCCAGCACTTTCTCCTCTATGTGTGACTGAGGACAGAGGGCTCAGGGTGCTTTGGGAATCTGAGCACAGGAATAACTTGAGTCATGATGTCTCATCAGCACCCAGCTGCAGAAAACAATTTATTTTTGTCAGTTGAGCCTCAGGCTTTATCTGACAACCCCCAGGGAAGGTAAAGTAACTGGTGTCCTTTACATTTTTCAGATTTGCAGAAATAAAATTCCTTTCTTAAATAGAACCATGTTTTTGTTTTGTATCGAGGCTAATTTGGTATTAGGGAGGAAATGAGCACAGGGTGGGATAGAGTGTTATAAATTCCTGAGCATCTGATGAGAAGGTATAAACTTTAAACCTACTCTTTATTAGGTTTAAGGCCAGGCTTATGTACAGATGTCTTAGAAGGGAAGGGATCTTGGCAGGTCTTCCAGTCTTTGCCCTGCCTCTCTGAAGGACAACAGGCAAGACACTGTGAAGTCTCCTCTGTGCTTAAAATCACATCACAGATAGTCTCTAATTATGTAAATGATACATCAGAACAGACAAATGGTGTATCAAGTATGTGAAGAAGGTATTCTGAATAGCCACTTTTAACTTCCACATATAGAACAGTCTTTAGGACATAATCAAAAGTAAGACATAATGGTCTCACAATTCTAGAGTTGTGAGAACATTGTCCGACTGTGATGTTGTTTTAAGGAAATCCTTGTTTCTTGGCTGCCTGGATTTCCTTCGTGTTTATGGTTTTCAAACCTGTAGGGCAGCTGCATTCCCACTGGTAAGATTGTTGGCATAGAAAATTTCCCTTCTGTTGTTGCATACAAAGTACATCTGTCAGTGAAAATCAGACTGGATCAGGAGAGATTGCTGGACACCCACCACTTGGTCTGGAGAGTTCAGCAAAGCCAGTTGGGCAGAGACTTTTAGAACAAATGTTGAAGTGTTTCTCTTTTCCCCACTTCCTTCACTAAACCCCATTGATTTGGTCTGGGCCCCAGCACATGTGTGGTATTTCTCAGGTTAGTGGAGAGACCAGGAATGCTCCAGAAGCTGTCCAAGCCAGCCCCAGATTGCTGGGCTCAGGACGAAGCAATGGGGGGTTCACCATGGGGCCTTTCCACTTTGAAGGAGGTCACTTGCATTTCTGAATGCGCTCACCACGTTCTGTCCTGGGCCAGAGCGCAGGCACATTGGCAGGTCTGTGTTAACTCTCCTACTTCTAAAGCCATGACTGATCCACATGCTTTCCAGATCCCAGGAAAAACAGCCTGGTGGAGATCATCTTGGATGTCAACGTCAGCCAGCTGACTGAGAGGCTGAAGGGGATGTTCATCCGCCAGATCGGGGTCCTCCTGGGGGTGCTGGACTCCGACATCGCTGTGCAAAAGATTCAGCCGTACACGGAGCAGAGGTGGCCGGGCATGAATGGGGGGGACGAGGAAAGGCCAGGGGTCCCCTGGGCTTCTTGCCTGAGCTGGTAAAGTAGTGTGGGTACACAGAGAAGAGTGGGCTCTCTGACCAGGAGCCACTCATGGTGCTCATTTCTTTAACGAAGAAGAAATGTACTCTCTTAGGACAGGTCATGTGCTCTGTGCTAGACACTGCAGCGGGTTACAAGGTCAGAAGAGGGCCATGCTGTTTGAAGACCATGTTCTAGTAAGGGAGAGGACCAAGTACATTCATAACATCAATACACAGTGGCTTTGACAGAAGGCCAGTTGGAAGTAGATAGGGTAGGAGGTCCCCAGAAAAAGAGTATCAGACTTTTCTTAGCTTAAGCCATTTTTGGCCTAAGCCATTTTATGATCTAAACCTGGCTACAGTGCTTGCCCTTGAGGTCTCACTAATTAATGATCTTAAGGGAAGAAAGAATGCAGGGACAGGGAGTTCCCTAAGTGGCCTAGTGGTTAGGATTCTAGGCTTTCACGCCATAGCCCAGGTTCAATCCCTGGTTGGGGAACAGAGATCCCACGAGTCTTACAGTGTGACCAAAGCGAAAAAAGAATTCAGGACCCAGTGATTCTTCTCAGGGAAGAGAAGTAACAATAGCAAAAATAATAAGTCAGTTGTAAAGACTCCCAGTTCTGTTCCAGTGGTAAAGATAGCCTGAAGCACTCATCGACCAGATCAGCTGGAACCTAAGAAATCATATTGACTTTTTGTGAGCCTCATGATTTCAATCAGCTAAAGCTTGGACTCTGTCGACCTATGTCCCGTTTCTGTGCTGAATTCTGTGCTCAGGCCCCCTCGTTAATGTGCATGTCCCCTTAGTTTAAAACTTCCCCGATTTTGCCATTTAGGGAGACACTTCTCTGGGAAAGATCCCCAGTGTTCTCACCTGCCGCAAGTGATAAATTCTTCCTTCTTCTCACCTTTGGCTTGGTTGTGTCTTTTGGCTCAATACCACCTAGAGGAGAACCCAGTTTTGGGGTAACGCTATCATGGAGATACAGGCAAGGGTGATTATTTTTTCAGGAGAATTTGGGATTGAGGTAGGTCAAAGATTTTCCAGAAGTAAAACTTACACTGATCAAGCAGAGAAGGACAAGGAGGAAATTCAGCATAGGGGAACAGCATGAACAGTATTCCTGTGATATGAATGTAGAATTTGCTCTGGAAGAAGCCATTGGGTTAAGAGCACTTATCTGGTCCTAAAATGTGGTGGACAGTAGGCTGGCTCTGTAGACTCAGGACAGTCATAAGCAGGCCAGGCAGGTCAGTTTGAATAGTTCGGGTGGGAGGACTCCGAAGTTAGTTTGTTTTGTATGTGAAGTTTTTGTTTATTTTTGAAGCAAGGATATTAGTTCTTTTTTTTTTTTTTTTTTTAAGGGAGGTTGGTAGTGTGGAGGCTAAAACTAAAATAGGAAGAGACCAAAGGCTGGGAAACAAATCAGGAAGCTTTTGGACTAGTCTAGGAAAAGGGTGCTAACACAGAATGAGGTAGTGGCTGTAGAGATGGCAGAAGATAATGAGGAAATTAAAAGAACTTCAGAGTAAGTCAATAGGACTTAGTGACCCTTTTGGAATGAAACTGAGTGAACCGTCAAATATGAGAATTTTCATTTGCATGCCTGGATAGATGGTGGGTGGTGAGATTAGGGATACAGAAGGAACCAGTTTCAAAGAAAAGATAATGAGTTCAGTTTTGACTGTTGAACTTGGGGTGTCTTGGGCTTCCCTGGTAGCTCAGATGGTAAAGAATCTGCCTGCAATGCAGGAGACCTGGGTTCAGTCCCTGGGCTGGGAAGATCCCCTGGAGAAGGGAATGGTTACCCACTCTAGGACTTTTGCCTGGGAAATCCCATGGACACAGGAGCCCGATGGGCTACAGTCCATGGCATTGCAAGGAGTTGGACATGATTGTGTGACTAACAAACACTTTCACATGGGCTGCCTAGGGAGATGCTTCACCTGGTGGTAGGATGTATAGGTTGGAACCTGAGGTGGGAGGAAAGGGCAGAGGTCAGGAGTCACGGTACAGGCAGGGTTAAAGCCGTGAGGATGGGTGAGTCACACTGGGAGAGTGTCAAGAGGGTTGAGGACAGAGCTCTGGAGAACATCAATATTTAAGAGGAAGGCAAAGAAAGAAGGGCCAGCAAAGGAAACTAAGAAACAGCAGTCAGAGAAGTGGGAGGAGAACCAGATGGGAGCTGCCTGCTGGAAGCTAAGAGACAGGCTGGCAGTGAGGGGGTGGGCTGCCAAAGGACTCAGGTGCTACAGAAACAGGTGTGGTGAGCACGCAAAACAGACCTTTGAGTTTGTGATTAGTAGATCATCAGAACTCAAGTGAGATCATTTCACTTAGATGCTGGGAGCAAAGCTTTTTCATAGTTTGAGAGTACAGAGACGGTACAATGCCTCTTCGAAGAGGCTGGTGCTGAAAACAATATGGGAGACGAGCTCAAAAGAACACCTTTTAAAGATGGGAAATACTTGAACATTTTTATAGACTGAGGGAAAGATGTAGAAGAAAAGTAGATGGTGGAGACTGGGGACGTGGGTTATAAATGGAGGTAGTTCTGGGGGACTGGCTATGGACAGAGCAGGCGCACCACTTCCTCTGGAGATGGGAGAGGAGGAGGGAAGATGTGCTCTTACAGGTGAATTTAGTAGAGAAGGGCGACATTTGAAAGGGTTAGTACAAATGTCCAGTTTCTCTGAAATTGGAGGCAAGGCCATCTGCTTCGAGGAGGTAAGAGTGAGGTGGACAGGCTGAGGAAAGTGGTGAAGGCTGAGAACACCCACTCCAGGAAAGGATGCTGGCTTTGGGCAGTATTGGGGTCTCACCCAAGGTCAGAGACAGGAAGTGAGAGCAGCAATTTCAGCTCCAGCCGCACAGTTGTATCGCTCAGAGCTTTTATGAACATGCCATTCCCCAAGCCTCGCCCCCAAAGATGGCGTTTCAGTTGGTCTGGAGTAAGGTCTGAGCACCTAAATCTTAAAACCCTCTAAGTGAATCTGATACGCAGTCAGGGTTCACTGGATCGGAGACAGCATGATGATGAGGACTTTCTTCTTAAGCTCTGCTTAGCAGCCTGGGAATAGGAACAGGAAGGTGGCTGCCGGGATCAATGAAGCTGGTGGGATTGGCTGGAACAAAGCAGTAGAGAGACTCCAGTGAGCGCGCAGGCGGGAGCACTGTGGACGGGGCAGCTTGCAGACTTGCCGTCACTGCATCTGAGGCACAAGGAGGAGACAAGCGTCTGGGTTTCTGGTTTGCCTTGATGGGCTTTGCTGAGGGATTCAGGAGGAGGGTATGACTGGAGGGAGAGACAGAGTGTGTTACGACGGGAAAGAGCATGGGCCTCTCCCCAGGCAGCCCGGCCTCTGTCAGGGGCAGCTTTGTGACAGTGGGCAAGTAACTGTATCTCTCCAAACCCGTCCTTCACCTGTAAAAATTCTAGCAGCCGTTTTGAAGGCTTGGTGAAGATTACATAAGATAATTTTTAAGTAGTCCCTCCCTAACACATAATGAGTTAGTAATTATTATCAGTCTATTTCGAAACATGTTGGGTTTGAGATGTCTATGGTAGATTTGGTGTAAATACTCCAGCAAGCATTTGTAGGTATAGGTTTGGTCACTCAGGAGAGACTTGGGGAGAGGAGATAAAGCTTTGAGGGTTGTTTGTGTGTAGATGGAAATGGAAACTGTAAGCGTGAACTAGGTCACTAGGAGAAAATGTGGGAAACGGCCACATCTTTTTAAATCAGTTTTCACTGGAGTGTCGTCATTTCTCAGTGTTGACTCAGTTTCTGCTGAGCAGCGGTGAATCAGTTACACATAAGCCCATATCCACTCTTTTCTTTAACTAATTCATTTTTAATTTGAGGATAATTGTTTTATGATATTGTGTTGGTTTCTGCCATACATCAACATGAATCAGCCATAGGCATACAAATGTCCCCTCCCTCTCACACCTCCTTCCCACGTCCCGCCTCACCCCGCTCCTCTAGGTAGTCAGAGTCCACTCGTTTTTAGATTTCCTCCTGTTTAGTTCTCCAGAGAGCATTGCGTGGAGTCCCCTTGGTATACGGTAGGTGCTCACTAATCATCTGTTTTACATGTAGCATGAGAGATGACCACAGGTCTTATGGGAAAGATTTGTTTCTTGATTCTGTAGCTTATGGTACCCCAGTTTTAGCCTCACTACGCAGTGAACTTTTAAAAGTCTTTTAGGAAAGGACTTCCCAAACTTTCATGTCAGTCCACACATAGAAGATGATACTGTTTCTATGACACTTTGAGATAAATACACACAGTTGGGATTACACTAAACGAAGCTGGTCCAGGCCCTCAGTTATGAGACTACATGGAATCACAAAGCAGGCTGCCAAAAATGGAGGCCAAGGCCTAGTGAATAGATTCCATGCCACCCAGAAGTGAGCTCAGACGTTGTCTACCTTGGACAGAAGTTGACAGTCAGCGAGCAAACAGATCTGGACCTAGAATAACAGTCTTGTACCAGCCACACCATCGTGTCAGACTTTCCTTGTTGCTGCCATGGTAGTTATCATTTTGGCCATGTTTTGACCTGCGGATAATGCTTAGATACCATGCAGCAGTTTACGTTTTAGAAAACACTGTGGTTCGTCTTATAGATAATCTAGGCACAAACCCAACAGCACTACACTCTTAGCTTTTAAAAGGCTGACAGCAGGATGTACCCGAAACTAAATCCCTGTGTTTCTGACCTCCAGTTACCTTTTGGAATAGGTCGTCTTGTTAATTAGGGCAGCTTAGGGCTTTTCTAAAAGCATAGGCTTTGGAGTCAGGCATATCAGGGTTGGGATCTGGCTCTGCCATAATTAACTGTGTGACCTTGGGCAAGCTACTTAACCCCTCTGAGCCCCAGTGTTGTCCTCTGTAAAATGGAGGTGATGCTGGGCAACCCCTTTCTCACTCTGACTTGCTGTGAGAGAATGTGTGTAGTACTTAGCACAGTGTCTGGCACATACAGAAGGTACTTAGCAAATGGTAGCTACTGCTATCCAGTTGACAGCTTCAGCCCATTCATACTGTTGCATGTCTTCGCAGCACCAAGATGGTATTTTTTGTTCAGAATGAGCCTCCTCACCAGATCTTCAAAGGCCATGAGGTGGCAGCGATGCTCAAGAGTGAGCTGCAGAAGCAAAAGGCAGACTTTCTGATATTCAGAGCCCTGGAAATCAGTACTGTCAGTGAGTAATTGTGGGGAGTTGGGAATGAGAGCCTGCTCAGTGCCCACAGCTCACCTGTCATCCCTGCTGTCCTGGGGCTTCATTTCTGGTTCTCTGGGAATAAGGAAATAGTCACTTTCTTCCACTACCATTATCATGAAAGAGTCCCAACTCATTGCAGAGCTTCTTCACCTGGGGTCTCTGGGCCCCTGAGACAGCATTTAGAGGAGCTGTGAATTCAAATGGGGGGAAAAAAATTAATTATATCTTTGTTTTCATGAGCCTCTGACTGAAATTTACTCTTTTCCTCAATCACAAACTACTGTAGTATTAAGAGAACATGCGACTTTAAAGCAATGGAAATTCATATAGTTTTGTTTCATACCACTTGATGAAATAGCATTTTTTATTTATCACTACTTCAAAATTATAACAGTTGTCAGACACTGTTATAATCTTATTAATATTTTAATAAAGACATATTATCTTTAAAGTTTTATATTCTTAAATTCTTCAAAAACATGTTTAGTATAATCGCCTTCCTCTATAATACTATGTCTTTTATCTTGGCAATTAATTATTCTGAGAAGAAGGTCTGTGGGACATGAAAGATTAAGAACTGCTGATATGGAAAACAGCAAGTAAAAACAGTCTGGAGCCTTTCTGACTGCTCCAGTTGTATCCAGCCATGATGATGATCTGGGGGTCCCGTCCCATTTTCATGGCCCCGTAAGGCGGTCATCTTCCAGCTCTGACTCCTGTGGCCCTGCTTCCCTCTCCTGTACTTGCAGCATGCCAGTTGAACTGCTCTGACCATGGCCACTGTGATTCATTCACCAAACGCTGTGTCTGTGACCCCTTTTGGATGGAGAATTTCATCAAGGTGCAGCTGAGGGATGGAGACAGCAACTGTGGTGAGCTTCCTGCTTTGACTGTGCCAGCTGGTTTGGCATTGACTGTGGCTCTGAGTTGAGTGGGTGGCTGTTGGTGTTTCCAAGGCAGATGAGCAAGCAGGGAGAAGAACTTTGTGTATTTGCTGTTTGCAGAGGACTTAGTACTTCCTTCCTCCGCACTTGTTCAAGGTTAGAGGAAAGCTCTGAAGCAGTTTTTAGTGGTTTTCTTTTGTTGTTGTTTTTTGGCCAGGCCTTATGGCTTGTTGGATCTTTCTTTCTTAGTTGCCTGACCAGGGATTGAACCCAGGCCCCAGCAGTGAAAGTGCCAAGTCCTAACCACTAGACCACCAGGGAATTCCCCTAAAACAGTTGTTTAAAACGAAACAAAGCTTAAATCAGACCAACCACAAAACGCAGCATAAATGAGACCAGCTGTACGGCCTCCTGCCCTTTCGGAGGGCCTGTGTGCTCTCGCCCATGGAAGCCCGTAGATTTCCACTCCCCTCTTTTCCTCTGTTGAAGCTCATTGCAGCCTGCCCCGCTGCCCCAGGGTCTCAGAGCCAAGCTAGGAAACGGCAGTTCACACCGTTTCAAATTTCAGCTGCTTTTATCTCTTAAGGTCTCATCTTCCCTGGGGAGCCCTGGGGACCATTTTGTCTTGCCCAAGCTGGGCAGCCCAGACCTCCCTTATAGCCTCTCTCTCCACCACCCTTACTATTTTGTTTTTCTTGGCAGAGTGGAGCGTGTTATATGTTATCATTGCTTCCTTTCTCATTGTTGTTGGCTTGGGGATCCTGTCTTGGACTGTAATCTGTTGTTGTAAGAGGTAAGATGCACTTGCCCTGTAAATTTGTTCAGGCTCCTAATTACATGTTTGTTCATTGGAGAGGTATCTGGCCCTTCTGCATGGGGGCGCTGAGTCCTGGGTTTTTTCCCTTACCGTCGCTGTTACATGCCCACCCACAGCATGCACAAAAAAGCTCTCCTTACCTTCTGACGCTCCTAAGGGGGTGAGTGGCTGTCATTGCAGTGATTTGCAACCTGGAGGGCCTGGGGCATAGGCCTGGCTTACATCTGTCTCTAGGGTTTGTGAGCTTTAGTACTCCACCCCTCAGCCTCACCACTGTTCCCCGAGAATTCTTAATTTGTCTGCCTCGCCTTCGATTTGAGAGTCATGTGTGTGTATGTTTTCTTGTAATTATAGACTTAGGTTAGTCATGATTAAGTCTTTCAGGTTTTTTTCATTTAGTCTTCCTATCTAGTCTTATAATATTTGAGAATGATATTTATTATTTTTCTCATTATTAATAATAGGTGTCAATTCTGTGTTTACTGTGTGCCAAGTACCATGATGACATTTTATAGGTAATATCTTTTTTAATAGGCATAACAGCCTTTGCTCAGGAAAATGATACCATCCATCCAAGGGCACACAGTTAATAAGTTGCAGAGCTGAAATGCAACCTGCGATATAACCTCACAATAAAACTTAGCAATAAAGAATCTAAAAAATACTCCCACCAGTCCAGGACAACCACCGTTGACAACATTGCTGGTTTAAGCTTTCCTCCACCTTCCACCCTTCAAGGATAGGGGTTTCATTTTATTTACATTTTTAATCAATCTGTCTAAGATAATAACGTTTCCTTTACCTTTTCCCAAGTTGGTGAGGAATACTTGAATAACAGATCACAGTTTCTGCCTGTCCCAGCTGAGAAGTAAGGAGAAGCAGCTCTTCCCTTAAGCAGCATCCCTGGACCCAGGCCCCACGTGCCATCTGGCTGTCCCCTGTGGGTGGCGACCTGAGCCTCTTTCCTGAGCAGAGACAGGGATTGTGTTTTTCAGGCAAAAAGGAAAACCGAAGAGGAAAAGCAAGTACAAGATCCTGGATGCCACGGATCAGGAAAGCCTGGAACTGAAGCCAGCATCCCGAGTGGGTATGTCGGGAACTCGGTGTGGAGCCACCCCTTGGTAGACGGGTGCACTCTACCCTAAGAGCCGCCACCATCCCCCTTCCCCCCCAGGCGTGTTGCCAACAGCTGTTTGTGCTGGAAAAGCATCTTGTCCCCTCCGTGATGCGGACCAGGGTCCGCTTTGCCCCGTGGGGGCAGAACCTGCCTGTTGGACAAGCTCGGCCTCCAGGGCTCACGCCTCAGCCCTTTTCCCTTGCTGAGGGGGCTCGGCCTCTTGCTCTCCTTGGCCTGCTCTTTCCCCTTAGCGTTTCTGCTGGGGGTTCAGCTTTTCAAGCTGCCCCTGAGGTTGAGCTCAAGGACCCGGGTCTCTTTTTTCCTGATCAGGCTGTCCTTCCTGAGCAGACAGGATGAGGCTGTGAAGAGACAAAGCCAGTGTCTGCCAGCTGGCCGTTTCCCGCCAGCCTCCTTTCCTGTTCTCTTCTCTCCTGCGTTTGTGAGGTAGATCCACAGGCCCCACGACTCTCAGAGCGGTGGAGGGCTGCTCCCCTGCTGGCCCGGGTGCACTGGGCTCGTCTGTCGAAGAATCTCCAGCTGCACAGGCACAGAGGCAGCTTCGGGGATGGGCTAGGAGGGCCAGGGCAGGTGCAGGGCTCTCCTTCCTGTCTGAGCGCACTCACTGGTAAGGTTCCCTTTTACCATGGAGGTCCTGGCACAGGCCTTATCCTCGTGTGGGAGGTGGACTCTCTGTAGAGCTGTTCCCAAACACTCTGCAAGTAGAACTGGTTTTTTTTTACAATGTGTTTGTTTAACATCTCTCATACTTAAAGCTTTGTATTAGAAGGGCTGTAAGGGGACTGTATAGAGAGTTCTAGGACATAGGCTCTGCTCTCAGAATTTCACTGTAGTGAGGGAGGAAAGACATATGAGATGAAAGTAAAAGCTCGTAGGCAGTCTGGCTGTCAGCAGCCAGGCAGCTTGGTTCGGGAGCACGGTGGGGCAGTGTCTGGAGGTGGGGGCTGGTGAACCACAGAAGTACTGCCAGAGCGTCCCAGAGGGGAAAACGTTGCACAACACCCTCCACGAGGTAGCCAAAGTTGTGTTTGTTGCTGTGGCAAGGTTTCTCTACCCTTTGAAGTCCTTCGGCGACTTACTTTTGGTCTGGTAGATAGTGGCCTTGGTGAGCTTGCGTCCATGTGTTTTTCTGAGATCCTCCTCCTTGCTGATGTCTCTCTTTTCTAAACAATATTCGTTGGTTCATATTTCTGTCCAGAAACTACTTTCTCATCCAACCCTTAACCTGCCAATTAAAAGTTGTACTCATCTTTCTCCCACGTGTTTGTTTTGGCATTTCTCTCACTGTATTATATCACTTATTTTATTGTTTGTCCCTTTCAGTTCAGCTCAGTCACTCAGTTGTGTCCGACTCTTTGCGACCCCATGAATCACAGCACGTCAGGCCTCCCTGTCCATCACCAACTCCCGGAGTCCACCCAAACCCATGTCCATTGAGTCGGTGATGCCATCCAACCATCTCATCCTCTGTCGTCCCCTTCTCCTCCTGCCCCCAACCCTTCTCAGCATCAGAGTCTTTTCAGATGAGTCAGCGCTTCGCATTAGGTGGCCAAAGTATTGGAGTTTCAGCTTCAACATCAGTCCTCCCAATGAACACTCAGCACTGATTTCCTTTAGGATGGACTGGTTGGATCTCCTCGCAGTCCAAGGGACTCTGAAGAGTCTTCTCCAACACCACAGTTCAAAAGCACCAATTCTTCTGCACTCAGCTTTCTTTATGGTCCAACTCTCACATACATACATGACCACTGGAAAAACCATAGCCTTGACTAGACGGACCTTTGTTGACAAAGTAATGTCTCTGCTTTTTCATATGCTGTCTAGGTTGGGCATAACTTTCCTTCCAAGGAGTAAGTGTGTTTTAATTTCACAGCTGCAATCACCATCTGCTGTGATTTTGGAGCCCAGAAAAATAAAGTCAGCCAGGTTCCCCATCTATTTCCCATGAAGTGATGGGACCAGATGCCATGATCTTAGTTTTCTGAATGTTGAGCTTTAAGCCAACTTTTTCACTCTCCTCTTTCACTTTCATCAAGAGGCGTTTTAGTTCCTCTTCACTTTCTGCCATAAGAGTGGTGTCATCTGCATATCTGAGGTTATTGATATTTCTCCCGGCAATCTTGATTCCAGCTTGTGCTTCTTCCAGCCCGTTTCTCATGATGTACTCTGCATATAAGTTAAATAAGCAGGGTGGCAATATACAGCCTTGATGTACTCCTTTTCCTATTTGGAACCAGTCTGTTGTTCCATGTCCAGTTCTAACTGTTGCTTCCTGACCTGCATATAGGTTTCTCAAGAGGTAGGTCAGGTGGTCTGGTATTCCCATCTCCTTCAGAATTTTCACAGTTTATTGTGATCCACACAGTCAAAGGCTTTGGCATAGTCAGTAAAGCAGAAATAGATGTTTTTCTGGAACTCTGTTGCTTTTTCGATGATCCAGCGGATGTTGGTAATTTGATCTCTGGTTCCTCTGCCTTTTCTAAATCCATCTTGAACATCTGGAAGTTCACAGTTCACTGAATTGCTGAAGCGTGGCTTGGAGAATTTTGAGCATTACTTTACTAGCGTGTGAGATGAGTGCAATTGTACAGTAGTTGGAACATTCCTTGGCATTGCCTTTCTTTGGGATTGGAATGAAAACTGACCTTTTCCATTCCTGTGGCCGCTGCTGAGTTTTCCAAAATTGCTGGCATATTGAGTGCAGCACTTTCACAGCATCATCTTTTAGGATTTGAAATAGCTCAACTGGAATTCCATCACCTGCACTTGCTTTGTTTGTAGTGATGCTTCCTAAGGCCCACTTGACTTCACATTCCAGGATATCTGGCTCTAGGTGAGTGATCACACCATCATGATCATCTGGGTTGTGAAGATCTTTTTTATACAGTTCTTCTGTGTATTCTTGCCACCTCTTCTTAATATCTTCTGCTTCTGTTAGGTCCATACCATTTCTGTCCTTTATTGAGCCCATCTTTGCATGAAATGTTCCCTTGGTATCTCTAATTTTTTTGAAGAGATTGCTCGTCTTTCCCATTCTATTATTGTCCCTTTACTAGTCAATAATACCTTTGAGGGTAGGGACTGTATCTTATTCATCTGTGCATATGCATTAATACCACTGAGTACCAGACCTAAGCCAGACACTGGTTATATTACGGTAAACTGAATAGATGATGCTTTTGTGTAGCTTATATCAGGCATTAAACACACAAATCCACAAATATACAAAATGTGATAGTGGAAGGTATTTATAAAGAATAACAGTAAAGCTGAGACCCCAGTGTCAGCGAGGAGAGTGAGGCACACAAAGGCTCTGAGAAACAGGATCGCAGGCCAAGCTGGTCGATTGACGGCCCAGCCGCCCGAGGGAGCCAGGGGCGTTTGGAGCAGGGGCATTTGGAGCAGGGGCGTTTGGAGCAGGGGGGCATTTGGAGCAGGGGGCGTTTGGAGCAGGGGCGTTTGGAGCTGGGGGGCGTTTGCGGAAGATGCCGTGAGTGTGGGGTGAGTGGCACAGGGCTGGGCAGGTCAGCAGGTACCCTGCTGTGGGCTCCTTCTAAGAGCAGTGGGGAGGTGTGAATGGTGCGGTTAGATTTATTTACATTTTAAAAAGACAACTGGCTGCCCTGTGAAGTAATTGGAGAGGCAAGAGTGGGTGAGAGGAAACTGGATAGAACACCCTCATGGTGGAGAGATGCTGAGATAGAGCGGCAGAGTCCAGACAGACTTGAGGGGAAGACTTGCTGAGATTCATATGTGTACAGAGGGGTGCGAGAGAAAAGGAGAAGCAAAGGATGGTCCCCAAGCATCTTCTCTGAGGATCTGTGAACGAGAAAGACTGGAGAACAAATGCAGAAATGTTTGGTTTAGAACAGTTGTGAATGGAGTTGAGGAAGTGAGGCTAGAAGATGGGTGGGGATGACTTTATGGGAAGTTTTGAATGTTAGCTTAAGGATTTAGGCATTTTTTCTGGTGGTGACGAAAGTACGGGCTTAGGAAAATTAGTTTCTTGGCATTTCATTCACTTAAGAGGTTACAGGTGGAGGCCAGCAAGGAGGTTTTTGTGGCGGGGGGATGGTGATGGCTCAAACAGTATGGTGTCAGTGAGCCGGAGGGACAGGAAAGGTCCAGGCTGACTTCCAACCCGAGAAACAGACTGGTGGCACTGCGGACAGAATTGGGACGTTGGGTGCAGTTTCAGTGAGAAGAGGAGTCAGACTGAACTCAGCAGAACGGGACTGGACAGGAATCTTCTGTGCACTGGAGACAGTCGGCACCGCTAAGATGGGTCACATCCCTCAGTGGGGAGAAGGTTGGGGGTCAGAAGAGTGCCAGGCTGAGGAGCTGACGTGAGGGAGGAGACGTGTCCCCAGGGAGCAGTCAGGTGAGAGTCGGCGATGGTGATGGCGGTGACAATGCTGGAGAGGTTTCTGGTCACCTGAAGAGCTGGAGTAGATGGTGAGCGGACAGATGGCTGAAGTGAAAGCACCGTCTGTTTAGGAAGTAGGTAGGTGGTGAAGAAATGGAGGCCCTGAAGAGTTAAAAGTCCTTTCAGAAGTTGAATAACAATGAGTGGAGATTAAGGACTGTGTGGATGGGGTTTGGGAGCAGGTTTGTGGGCAGAGATGCAGAAGATGGGGGTGAGATTTCTGAGGAGGACAGAGGGCATAGAGGACTTGAGATCCCTCTTCTGAGGCAGGAGGGAGGGACAGCTGGGAGGAAGAGGCAGTTTGGAAAGGCAGACTTGTGGGAAAGGTTGGGGGACGCGTGGGGAAAGGTAGGGGGACGCAGGTGGCCAGCCGCTCCTGGGAAACCCAGAGGAGAGGACAGCCAAGGGTCGCAGGCCCTTCTCCCAGGGGCGGTGTCTAGCCAGGGAGGCGGCTTGAGGTGAGAGGCCCGTGGATCTGGTGCGGGTCCGATCGGGCCAGCAGGCCTGGCTCTCGTTTTGGGTTCTGTGGCGGGGGAGTGGTTGCAGCCTGGAACAGAGCTGCCAGTGGGATGTGGAGAGTGGCTTCAGGACCTAAATGTGCGAGGTCTGGACCGGAAGTTCAGCTTGAGGAAGAGTCAGTCTGTGGAGCCTGACGTGTGTGGAAGTGAGCTGAAGTGGACACCGTGCCGGGGGCCCAGTGAGGCCGGAGGAGAGTGGCAGGACCGGAGGGGCCCCTGCGTGTGCCGGGGCCAGGCTGGGAGCCCAGCCGCAGGGCCTGCTTTACTTTACGGTTAGCACCTGGGGGGTGGGCTGTGATTTGGTTTTGTTCTCCTGTTGAGTTTTTTCACAACTTTCTGTTTGTTTTGGTTGAACCATATAAAATTACTGATCATTTGACTTTTGACCTAGAAGACAGCAGTTTCCTGTGATTCAGTCTGATGCGTACAGAAAATGCGTTTCTTAAGTGAATGTGTCCGTGTAATCAGCCCCCTAGAAGCACCTGCTATGTGCTTCTTTGCAGTCACTGCCTCCCCACAATTGACTTCTGGTATTTTGGAGTAGCTGATGTAAACGAAATCTTAGTGTATGCCTCCTTTCACTCAACACTGCATTTGGGACATTCATCCGTGTCCTTAGGCAGAGCCACAGCGTGTTCATTCCCATTGCTGTATGATTTCCTCTGTAGGAATACGTTTTGTCAGGCGTGCTGTTGGGCACCCTGGGGGCTGCTGCTTTAAACCATCTGGTCCGTGTCCTTTGGTGGACAGATGTATGGATTTCTGTTAGGTGTAGGCCTCGGAATGGAATTGCTGAGTCAGAGAGGCGAGTGGTCAGCACCCATTGATGGTACCAGTGTCTTCGCTTGTGTTGCTTAGTGGATGAATTCCACTAGGTTCTCCAGGCAGAGCAGAGCTCGTCGTGAGAGGGCCCAGGGTGAGTGCTGTGTACTGAGGAGCCAGAAACCCACCTCCGCCTCTGGCTCCTGTCCTCCACACCTATGGCCCAGAAGGGCTTTGGGGAAGAAGAGAAGCTTCGAGTGCTTGGGTGCTGCGGGGAGAAAGCCCTCAAAAGGATATTCCATCTATAGGGCAAAGCAGAAGTTGTGAGAGCCTTGACCCGCCCTGGTCTTGGTTCCTATGTCACCACTGTCCCCACCACACTGGAAAAGCCTGCAAAGCTGCATTGTTCTCTGACCCTGCTTCTCTGCTGTCCTGAGAGTCAGTGGAAGGTGTGACTGTCTGCAGTCAAGTCCCAGAACTGCCCTGAGATGGACAGGCTGCATAAGCTTGCCTGCGCCCCGGAGCACACTGCACAGACAGCATGTGGGCAGGGTCTGTGGGCGTGAGGTTCCTGAGCGCCGGGCGTGGTCAGAGTCTCGATGCCCTCGTCATTCACAGCCTTCCGTTCCATCTGGCCAGGAAGGGGCAGAGTGGCTGAGAGTCATCTCAGGAGCCTCTTTGAGCGTTTACTGGGGATGGGACCGGGGGAGGGAGAGGGGCTGCTGGGAGTGAGGGTGCAAACACAGCTCACCGGACTGGCCACCTTTTTAAGAAAGGAGGTAGGTTAGGTCCTGGGGGTGGACTGGGCCGGGCCCAGAGCACTGCCAGGCTGGGCTCTCGCACTCCCAGTTCTGCCATCTCAGCCTGCGTTTGCTTGGGGCGGCATTGGCACCAGCCAGAGGGCACCTGTCTTGCTGGGGGGTCCGCCCTGACGCTCTTAGCGAACCTCGCGGCACCGTCTGGTCTCTGCAGCCTCAGGGACGCGCGGTGAAGGCACCTGTGGCGGCTTAGAGGCTCTCAGGCATCTGTTCTGACCTCGGGGGTTTCTTCCGGGTCCGTCCTTGTGCGCCCTGACCACCTGGTGGCTTGGGGCAGTCCCTCCTCCAGTCCCTCCTTGGAGAGGCCTCTCTGAGCCACACGCCTGAGTAAATGTCTGCGTGGAACATGGTGGTGTCCTCACTCGGGGCCAGCAGCCGTGCAGGTGCTTTCCATCCACGCTGAGCCAGGGTCCGCTGACGGAGCTCAGTCTCTGGATTCTCAGTGCTTGTTCCTTGCTTGCCTGCCTCCCGCAGACCTCTGCCCTGTGCATGAAGGGAGATGATGAAACACCCCACATTTAGGAGAGAGAACAGATCATGTCATTGGGTGGACTAACCGAAGCGAATAGATGCTGGAGGCAGAGAATCTGCAGTGGACGCTGATCTGTGGGTCTGCAGTCTGCTCCCTGAGGCTTCCCTGCTCCGTCTAGCCAGGCCTGGGAGGACTCGGGTAGCCCCCTGCCCACAGGAGAGGACCGTGACCGTCCCTGCCACTCTGCTCCTCTTCGGGCTGGGGGGGCGCGGGGCGCGGCTCCTGGCTCCTGATGCCCGGCTCCTTGGCTCCCTCGCAGGTGTCAAACAGAAAGGCCCGGCGCTGAGCAGCAGCCTGATGCGCTCGGAGTCGGAGCTAGACAGTGACGATGCCATCTTCACGTGGCCGGACCGGGAGAAGGGCAAGCTCCTGCATGGTCAGAACGGCTCTGTGCCCAATGGGCAGACCCCGCTGAAGGCCCGGAACCCCCGTGAGGAGATCTTGTAGCTGCCTGGTCTGTCTCCTCAGGGTGGGGGTTGGCAGTGCCAGGGTCCAGAGCATCGCCAGGCTGGTTCTCCTACCTCCCGCATCGGAGGGCAGCTGTTCTCCCAGCCTCTGCTGGTCACTCCATCCCAAAACCCTCAACCAGAGCCGCTGGTACTTGAATCCAGAGACATTCTCCAGGAACCCTGAATGAAGCTGTGAACGAAGAGGTTTCCTCTTTAAACCCATCTGGTAGGTCCCTCAAAATGTCCTCACCTCAGGGCCTCCTCTTTTTTGCATCCCTCCCCTTTCCAAGGGTGGACACTGCCGGCTCCTGGCCTCTTCTCCAGCTCCTTGTCGGCAGGACTGCTGCCGCCGGGGCCCCTGCACGCGAGGCCTGACTGCGCCCCCCCACCCCGGGGACAAAACCAAGCCCCGCCAGCTCCTGGCCGCAGAAGCCTGCCTTCCTGCCTGCGGGCGTGTTCCTTGTTCTCTGCTTTGGGATGGAGCGTGCCCTCTCTCTCTCCGCCCGGAGGAAGTGGCGCCCCCTCCTCACCCTGCCCGAGTAGGGGAGGGCTGGCTGCTTCCGGAGAGGAGCAGGGCCCAGGCCGCGGGGCTGGTGGGTTGCAGTCCCCAGGCTGGACACAGGCTGCCACCCGTCTTCCTCCTGGCCACCCTGGCTGCTTCCAGAATCAGGTCCAAACTCCCTGTGCCCAGAGGAGACGGCCGCAGACAGCCTGGACTGCCCTGGCATGAGAGGCATGTGTGACTGCCCACCCCGCGGTCTCCGCTGTGTCCAGTCTGTCCGAGCGCCTTCTCTCTGTGTCCCTGCACGTGTGTGATAGAGTGAGTGTGAGCATCAACTCCTCCTCGGGCCCTTGGCTCCTCACAAGGCAACCTTGACCTGGAAAGACTTTGAGCTTGGTGGAACAGAGACCCTCTGAATCCCTCTGGCCCTGTTCCTCAGGCGTGAGGAACTGGTCCCTCCGCTGTGGCGTCTGGGTGTTGAGGAGTAGGAGCTTTGGGGACGTGGCTTTTTAAAAAGAAACTTCCAGTTTATATTACTGCACTACAGTCTGTCGTGAGATGATTAAACGTGCTATTTAATTGTACGCTTGCCTGCCGTGTGTGTGCTGCTGCGCGCTCCGTGGCCGACCTGCGCTTGGGGCCAGCCTCGGTGCCTGTGATGCCTCCGACGGGCCGTCGTGGGCCTGGCATCTGCACGGGTGGTCAGCAGGGCTGGGCCTCTCCCTCGGGGGCGGCCAGGCCCCTTCTGGCTGGCTGCTCCTTTTGTCTTTCAGGACGGGAGTTTTCTGTCATTTGTTCAGCCTTTTGTGAACACAGAATTGATACAAATATGTGCACAAACCCCCCCTGCCTCCTGCCCATCTCCACCCCGTGGACCACCTGGGGACACACAGGGCCCTGACACCCAGCTGGGCCCCTGGCCTTCCCGCTTGGTTTCCAAAGCAGTGGGGCTCGGCCCCTGCCTCCAGGACAGGGCCGTGCTGGAGGGACAGCTTGGTGAGCTCGGCAGGTGGAGAGAGGCTGCTGTCCAGTCTCGGACTCCCAGGAAAGGGACAGGAGAGAAGGACCAGGGAACTCTTATCTCCCCAAGACCCTGTGCACACGTGAGGGTATCGGTGACACCAGCTGAGGGTACTGGTTCTGTTTTTACAGAAGCAGAAACGCATCTGAGAAGTAACTCAGTCCACACACTGTCCACAAATGAATTCGAGCTGAGGCCCAGCAGAGCCCGTGCTTGGTCTAGAGCAGAATCACGCTTTAAAAACGGGTGGCTGGGCCCCACCACTGTGTTTCTGACTGAGTGGGATTGGGGTGAAACAAGAATCTGCCTTTCTAACACGATCCCAGAGTGCGCCGCTGCTGGTCTGGGGACCGCACTTTGACAACCACTGGTCTAGAATCGCACGCTCTGTGGCAGGAAGAGGGGGCGGCAGCTGACCTGTCCTGAGCGAGGGTGAAGGAAGCTCGGAGGAGTGGGTGCTCGAATCTGCGGGGGGCGCTGGGGCTGGGGTGTGCAGAGCTGACTGCTCAGGAGCTGCTGGTGGGCGGGCGGTCAGGACTTGCTGAGGATGTTGTATTAGGAGAGCTTTGAAGGATTCACCAAGGAGCTACAGGACTTGATAACTGACTGGTTTTTTCTGGTTTTCTTTGGGCCTCCTTGTTACATCTTATTTATTTCACCCATGGCTCATTGAAGGATGTATCTTTATCTCTGTTTCAGAGATTAAAAAAAGTAATTTTTCATCCCCTGTTCCTCCCACCAAAAAAAGGAACACAACTCAGAAACCAGTGCCTCTTTCCTGGCTTGGGGTCTTGCACTGAGAAGATTGCCATGCCCCTGTTCTGACCTGACTCAAGAAAGAGGCAGAAATCCTCGGGCTGGCTTAGGGAGCGCTAGGCTACTTCCACATGACCCTGTCACCCCAAAGAAACCCTTCAGAAATAACTGAATTTCAGGAGCCTGGTAGCCCCTGCCTTGACCAAACTAAATACTCCTCCACCCTCAAAAACCTTCAGCTTAAATTTTCTGTTCAGAATGGCCAGAAGGGAGGCCAGTAGAGGGCATCCTCACGTTTCTCAAAGCGCGCAGGTGCTGTGTCTGGCGAGTGCTTAGTCGCCAGGAAGCAACGATCAGGAAAACCCCGCCAGACTGGAAGGCTGTGGCGCTGGCCTGCCTTCTAAGGAAGGGAAGTGGGGAGACTCTGGTTCTTCCAGCTTCCCTTCAGCCCATCTGCTCAAGAAAGGAGCCGGAACAGGTGGTCACACACACAGAGTTGCTCTCTGAAGACAAATAGGTATGGAAAGAAGTTGTATGCCGTCAAGAGCCATGAGTCTTTGGGAAGGAAGGTTTGGGGAGCCTGGCTCAGGCCCGTGACGCCTTTGTGGAATTTGTGCTGAGGTTCAAGGATCCCTGTTTAGCCTCTGGTCAAAGCCATGCCACCACTGTAACCCCTTTCACCTACGTCACCCCCCAGTCTGTGGTTGGTGCTGATGGTGGCTGCTTAATAGCCAGCATCTCCAGTACCAGGGCTGGGGCTGTCCACGCTCAGGCCTCCCACAGAGGCCCAATGGGGTGTGAGCCTCTGTGTCCGAGCACTGCCAAACAGGTAAAGCCCCCGCCTCCCTCCGTCCTGGGGGGCTCTCTGAGTTGTCGGGTTTGACACTGGAGGTTAACTGATCAGGCCTTTTCGGCCACAAGGAACAAAACTAAAGTTACCTTTTCTGGGGAGGCCAGCCTTCTGCCCAGTTCTCAGCACAGATAGGAAACTCTGGCTGGCAAGTTACGGCTGTGCCCTGGTCTAACCTTCCGAGCTACACTCTGGGTCCCCCTCATCCCCACACGTCTGACAGTCACGTTCCTCTGTATCCACATGAGTGGTTCTCACTGGCTGCACATGAGAATAACCTGGGCAGCTTCTAAAACATACTGATGCCTGGAACCCACACCTCACAAGCAACTGTGATTTAATTGATCTTTTATTAATTCTTCAGATAATTTGTGCATCCATACCGTACCCTTGACAAGGGGGCAAACAGCCCTTAGCAGCTCAGCTCTAAGAGCTTTGCAAACCAGTTGGAGTTGGTGACAAAGAAGGAAAGTACCTAGACACCCAGCTCCTCTTCATCACCTCAGGGAGAAGCCCTTCCAAGTGGCGTGTGGCAGAGGTCAGCAGTTTGCCAAACCAGAGTCCTTCTCTGCGACACACAGCTCAGTCCATCTCCAGCCTTCTGCACAACGTGGGCAGAAGGGAGGAGCTCCGTCTTCCACCCTGACCCGTTAGAAGCTTCTCTGTGAACCTCACTCCCTCCCTCCACCTGCCGGCCGGACGCAGAGGAGCCCTTGGGGGGACTGCAGCCAAGTAGAGGCATCCACGGTGGAGGCAGCCGGTTGCTGAACGACTGTCTAGCAGATAGCTGCTCTACCAGGGTGGACATTGGAGCGTGTTGAGAGAAATGAACTGTGTTGTGCTAGTCAAAGCATTTTTTAAGAAAGTAATGGCTGGTGTTAAGACTGTGGCCTGGGCTCTCTGTGACAGGCCTCCCCGGGCCGGGGGAAGCCACCAGGGTGGACAAAGATGCCTCAGCTCGGGGCCCCGCGGCAGCCTCGTGGGCTGCAGGGGGGCAGCGGCAGAGAGCTCAGGCCTGCCACAGGCTTGGCCACACACTTCCAGGTCACATGCTCTGGCTTTTGTTTGCTTGTTTTCTGAAGAGCAGACACTGATAATTCAGGCCCTCCCTTAGGGTAAGGGCGACATGCTTGGGGATCCGGAGTCAGAGGTGCGACTGCCTGTAGTGTGTAGGCTGGGAATTTGGGGGCATGGAGAGGAATAATCAGTAGCAGCCTGAGACTTAAACATCTGGATCTGTTTGTGGGGGAACTTACAACCTGACTTGACAAGCGGTATCTCAGTTGTCACCATATCTTGTAGCCCAGAAAACGGAAGAGATTTTTCAAACACTTATTTCTGTGATCAAAGAAAAACAAAAAAAACTTAAAAGCCAGGACAAATTCAGTGCAAAAAGTATTTAATTCAAACTTTGTGCTGGAAATGACTACAGCACTTTACTATTCAACTGGAAATATGGCCACATGGAGGAAAGTTGTTATCTTTGTAATCTGCAGGTAACCACTCACACCCTGAATCTCTGAAGGAGTCCAATACCTGTAAGAAGAACAATGTCAATATATACTTGGAATCAGACCTGGGTTCCCAGTTTGAACTGTAGAGCCCAAAATGGGGAATCAAATCATAGGGATACCTGAGTCACATGATTTTCTTGGCATTTATTCGTTGGCTACAGAAATTAAAGCATGAAAGCAGATTAAAGTGCCATCCCATTAGAGGAGTTTGAGCTTTTCCCCAGGCAATGCATCCAGCCTTCAAGTAGGTCCCAGGAGCCTACCATCTCTCTCCTTCTAAAACCTGGGGTTACATCAGGGCCTGCAGGGACCCATGTACCTCTTACACTGTACACCATTGAGCCATCTGTCTCCTACCCGCTTAGAAGTTGCTGAGGCTGTGGGGCCATCTTATGTGGGGTTTTTTTTTTCATTTATTTTTATTAGTTGGAGGCTAATTACTTTACAATATTGTATTGGTTTTTGTCATACATTGACATGAATCAGCCATGGATTTAACATTATGTTTTATAACACTCTTCGCGTGCTGATTCTGTTACATGGAGACAGAACACAAGTCTCCATCACCTATGCCTCAGACCGAGTCCCTGTCTCCCTGTCACCCTGCCCGTGATCTGCATGTGCTTGTCAGCGACGAACGCCAATGACAGGCAGCCATGGAGAAATCACAGCACTGCTCTATTCCTGCCACAGCTCCAAAATCCCAAGCTGTCTCTACCAAAAGCAGGAATCACTTTTAAACATGGTTCTCTTTGGAACTATTAAATACCATATTCTTATTTGGAAAAGCAGTGTCAGCTTTAGCATTCCAGAAGCCCCCGTGTCATCTTCCTGTCATATCTCTAGTTCCTAGCACAGTGGCTGGTTTGCCCTTGAAAGTGTTACCTGTGACGAACACAGAGATTAGCACAGACTGACTGAGCCAGGGACGTGGAAGGGGTGGCTTCTCAAAGAAAATGCCAGCTGAGAGGGGAGGAGGATCTAGTCACTGCTGAGGTGAGCTGACACTCCAAGGGAATCTGGCCTAGTTCTCAAGTAGTATTACTTGGGAGAAAGCATAAAAATATGGAATTAAATACTGAACATTTAAGATATGGGTAGGGTGGTAACTGAAACGAAAGTAATCTAAGGTCCTTTCATAGAAGGACAGTAAAAATGCCAATTAACTTTAAAGTTTAAGTCAGCTGTTCATGTTAAAAATACTGAGAAAGCCACTAAGAATTCAGAACTAGAATATGTAACATCTAAACAAGAGGCAAGGAAAAACATACACACACACTTCAATCAACCAAGCAGAAAGCAAGAATACAGGCAGAACTACAGCATTGAAAGATCTGATCATTTAATACGAAGAAGTCAGATTGGATGTTAAAAGAACCACCACTACCACCTCCAAACAAAAGTTAACAGATTGGCTATAACTGTAAAACTATATTCACAAAAGACACCTAAAATATAGTGTGAAAGTGAAAGTCACTCAGTCGTGTCCAGCTCTTTGCAACCCCATGGACTGTACAGTCCATGGAATTCTCCAGGCCAGAAGAATGGAGTGGGTAGCTGTTCCCTTCTCCAGGGAATCTTCCCAACCCAGGGATCAAACCCAGGTCTCCCACATTGCAGGCAGATTCATGCAGAGATTGAAAATAAAAGCAAAGATAATACTGGGGGCTTTGATTCCTATGAAGATAATGAAGTGGCATAGACTACTGGCTCCCTTCCCCTAAAATTAACCCTAGAAAAATACACATTAGACAGTAGCATAAATCTGAGGGACCACCACCAAAAATCGCACCAAGAAGTCTCCCCAAATCCTGTAACAACCCCTAGGACACCGAAGGTCATCAGAAACTGTGAGAGGATGTAGGACACCAGTGAGACGTCTACTCTTGGTGAACACAGGACGCAGCCAAGTCACTGGGGTAAGAGGGACACTGTTGAGTCAGCACAAAAGCTCTGCTGGGGTGAAAAGAGAGTGGGCTAGGCAGCTGCTCTTGGGATTAAAACTTTTTTCCCTCCAAAGCCCCAGCATTGGGAAATGACAATTAGGAATTGCTGCTGCTTCCCAAGGCTCTGAAAGTAATCTTAGAACAGTTGCTGGTGGAGTGGTTGACAGTGACGGTGAGGTACCCAGAGGTCATTACCTTCCCTTCTAAAATGGAAGGGACAGAATTGGCCTTGCCCTTTCCCCAATAAATACTACCAGGCAGAAGAGCTAGTGCTGTGAAGGGACATGAGCTCACAGGTCAAAAATAAGCAAACCCTGGCCCCCGTAGACAGCAAACTACATATACTGCCTAACCAAGAATTGAAAATAAAGCAAAGTAAATATACAGGGAAATATTAGCAGTATGAAGCAGGAACAAGAACCAAGTGGAAATATGAAGTATGGAAAATATAATGAATGTGATAGACACATACAGGTCAAAACCCATCAGCTGGAGTGTCATCCCAGGGCCCTTACCGAAAGGAAGCAGGAAAGGGTTACAGGAGACGGACGGACATACACAGGGCGGCGGCAGGGTAGACGTGTTGACGTCTGAATAAATGGCAGCCTGAGAAGGAAACATTTGAAGAAATAATAATAGGTTGATGAGAATTAAAGATGAAGGAACTTTTGGATGATTAAGAAAAACATACCATAAACATTGTAGTAAGAGAATTAAGACCATCTAAGAAAATGAGAAATTCTCAAAGCTCCCAGAGAGAAATAGCAGATCAATAACAAAAGAACAAGAAACAGATTGACATCAGATTTCTTAACAGTATCCTTAGGTGAAAAAAGTCAAATCATGTTTCCAAAATCCTGAAGGAAAAGAATGTAGTTGAACTCAAAATTTATAGCAAGACAAACTTAAACATGAAAGTAGAATAAAAAATATTCTCAAGGATACAGGCTTCAAATTTTTTCCCAATAGATCCACTTAAGATGTACTTAGAAGAAGTGGTTAAATATGAAAAGGAGAGACTTCCCTGGTGGCCCAGTGGTTAAGAATCTGCCTGCCTGGAAGAGCCCACATGCCACAGAGCAACTTAGCCTGTGCACCATAACCACGAACGCTCTGTGCCAGAGCCGTGGTCTGCAGTGAGGAGCCTCCACTCGCCACAATAGAGAAAGCCCTTGCCCAGCAAAGACCCCAAAATAAATAATTTAAAAAATTCTACAAAATATGAAAAGTAAATTTAGACATGGAAAGATATATAGGAAATAAGAGTGAACAAATGAGTTATTTGGCAAAGTTTGTACAGATGGTTTCCAACGTAAAATGGTTTATGATTTTTCAACTTTACGATGATGTAAAAATGATGATACAGATTCAGTAGAAACTATCAAAGTTTGTATTTTTATTTTGAAGATTTTTAAAACCGTGAACGATTTTTAAAGTCTTTAGACTTTGTTACCATATTACTTGTTTTATGTTTTGGTTTTTTGGCCACAAAGTATGTGGGATCTTACCTCCCTGACCAGGGATTGATACTGTACCCCATGCTTCGGAACGTGAAATCCTAGCCACTGGACCACCAGGGAAGTCACTCGAATTTTGAGTTTTAATCCTTCCTGGGCTAGCAATATGTAGGGTACCTGCTTGTGATGCTGGGCAGTGGCAGCAGCCACAGCTCCCGGTTGCCACAGATCAGAAGGGTAAACAACTGAGACAATGTGACCATTCTGTATCTATACACCCATCTGTTTCACACTTTCAGTACAATATTCAATAAATTACATGAGACAGTCAACACTTTATTATAGAACAGGCTTTGTGTACAACCCCCTATGGCAAAGCAGTGAAGAATCCACCTGCAATGCAGGAGACAAGAGTCCAATCCCTGGGTCAGAAAGATTCCCTGGGGAAGGAAATAGCGACTCACTCCAATATTCTTGCCTGGGAAATCCCATGGACAGAGCAGAGGAGCCTGGCAGGCTACAGTCCATGGGGTAGCAAAGAGTCAGACATGACTTAGCAACTGAACAAAAACAAGAAAATGGTATTGCCCAATTAATGTTAATGCAGGCTAATTTAAGTGTTCTGGGCACCTTTAAGGTAGAATCGCTAAGCTATGATGTTGAGATTAGGTGTCATAAATGCTTTCTTGACTTAAAATATTTTCAACTTACTGGGTTTACTGGGACATAATACATAAGTTGAGGAAGATCGAGATGACAGGAAAAGAGAGGAAGCAGAAGGAAAGGAAAACAATGAAGTATATTAACAATCCAGAGCCAAACTTCTAAAAATATCAACATGGTAGGGTTGCAAAGACTAACTCTTATTAGAAAGAAGATTTAGATGACAGTTAAAGAAACCAAGGAGAAAACAAGCATGCTTAGTATTGAGTAACATCAATTTTAAAAAGTAGAATATGTAACTTTTAAACATGTAAAAGAAAATTTTCCATTGCCACCCAATGGAAAGCAAGGTAGGGGGAGGGAGAAGTACACTAAGTAGAAATTGTGAAATAATGGCAGAAATACATTGTAATAGCACTAGTTAGAATGAAAATAAACATCTTCACTGAAAACAAATTCACCCCTTCTTTTCCGTCTTCACTTGCTCTTCCTGCATGGACATTAGTGATTAAAGGAATAGATGCACAAGGGAATAACTGATGGGCCTGGGCCCATGGAAGCCCACTGGTGCGGGGGCCGCAGTGAAGCAGCCCAACAGCAGGGCAAGTGAGACAGTGGGTGGCTGCAATCGGGGTGATTGAGTACCTTGTGCAAAATGCTAGGTAACTGAGAAAATAAATACACATACTGAGTGTAATGAGAGACAGTTTCCTCCCTCTTAAAGGGTTTATGAGTGTGAAAAAGGAGGTGGCTAGAAAGAACCCCGAGGTATTGAACTCAAATTGGAAGAATTCATATGAACTCACAGGTTAAGATACATAGATGATAAATAGTTACATATAGTTATATATACAGTTATACAAGCATGTATTGTTTCTACTGATTAAAACCTAAGGCAATTTGAGTATCAAATTATAACTTAATAAAATAGGAATATATGAGACTATACTGATATGCATAAATGAGTAAAAAATATGAAGGACTCAAATATGAATTCTCTTTTTAAAACCCCAAAATTTAGGACTAAAGCAATAGAAAAAAGAATAAACAGCAAGGGTGAAAAACGAGAGAGCAAAAATAGTTATAAAATCAGAGATGGAAAAGAGAAGGCTGACAAAACCAAGTGATGGTTCTTGGAAAGATTTTTAAGATAGATAAGTCTAATCAAAAACAACAAATAACATACAAGGGAGTCTCCATAAGGTCATCAGCTGATTTTTCAGCAGAAACTCTACAGGCCATCAGAGAATGGCATGATATATTTAGAGTGATGAAGGGAAAAACCTACAACCAAGAATACTCTACCCAGCAGGGCTCTCATTCAGATTCAATGGACAAATCAAAAGCTTTAAGAACAGCAAAAGCTAAGAGAATCCAGCACCAGCAAACCAACTTTGCAACAAACACCGAAGGAACTTCTCTAGGCAGGAAAGAGACCAGCAACTTAAAACAACTTTGTGTATATACAGACTGCTATATCAAAACCTCATGGGAATGGCAAACCAAAAAACTACAATACACACACACAATGCCAAAGATAGTCATTCAAATCACAAGTGAACAAAAGAAGACGGGAAGTAAAAAGACCTACAAAAACAAATCCAAAACAATTAAGAAAATGTCAGTAGGAACACGTGTATCAATAATTATCTTAAATTAGTAAATGGATTAAATGTTCCAACCAAAATATACAGACTGGCTGAATAGATACAAAAATAAGACCCATATATATGCTGTCTACAAGAGACCCACTTCAGAGCTAGGGACACATACAGATTGAAAGTGAGGGGATAGAAAAGTATTCCATGAAAATAGAAACCAAAACAAAGCTGGAGTAAGCAATACTCATTATAAAACAGATTAAAATCAACAGTGACTTGAACACCCCACTTATACCAATGGACAGGTCATCCAGATAGAACATCAATAAGGAAACACAGGCCTAAAGTGACACATTAGATCAGATGAACTTAATTGATAATTTTTAGAACACTCCATCTGAAGGCAGCAGAATATACTTTCTTCTCAAGGGCACATTAGAATACCCTCCAGGATATACCACATATAAGCCACAAATTAAGAAAACTGAAGTCATATCAAGCATCTTTTCCAACCACAATTCTATAAGATTAGAAATAAATTACAGGGAAAAAAACTAACAAAAACACATACAATAATGTGTTATTAAAAAACTAATGGATCACCAAAGAAATTTTTTTAAAAATAACATGGAGACAAAATGACAATGAAAACACGATGTTCGGAAACCTATGGGACACAGCAAAAGCAGTTCTAAGAGGGAAGTTTATAGCAATACAATCTTACTTCAGGATACAAGAAAAATCTCAAAACAACATAATCTTACACCTAAAGCAACTGGAAAGAGTAGAACAAACAAACCCAAATAAGTAGAAGGAAAGAAATCATAAAGATCAGAGCAGGAAAAAAAATAAAAAGATCAGAGCAGAAATATAAAATAGAGATGAAGAAAACAATAGAAAAGATCAATGAGAAGTTGGTTCTTTAAAAAAGTTAAAAAAGTTGATAAACTTTTAGCCAGACTCATCAAGAAAAAAAGGGAGAGGGTTCAAAGTCAAGATTAGAAATGAAAAAGAAGCTACAACTGACACCACGTAAGTATAAAGGATCATAAGAGCTATTACAAACAACTATATGCTTATGAATCTGTCCATTTCTTCTAGGGGGACAAATTCATAGTAAGGTACAATCTTCCAAGACTAAACAAGAAATAAAAAAATACAGATAGACCAATAAGTACTGAAATCGAAACTGGTTAAAATAGCTTCCAACACACAAAAATTCAGGACCAGATGGCTTCACAGGCAAATTCTATGAAACATTTAGTTGTGGCATGTGGGATCTAGTTCTCAGACCAGGGATCTAACCTGGGTCCCCTGCATTGGGAGTTAATGGAGTCTTAGCCACTGGACCACCAGGAAGTCCCTCTATCACACATTTACAGAAGAGTTAACACCTGTCCTTCTGAAGCTCTTCCAAAAAACTGCAGAGGAAGAAACATTCTGAAATTCATTATGTGAAACCACCATCACCCTGATAGCAACACCAGACAAAGATACCACAAAATAAGAAAATTACAGGCCAATATCACTGATGAACACAGATACAAAAATCTTCAACAAAATACTAGCAAACCAAATCCAACAATACATTAAAAGGATCATATACCATGATCAAGTGGGATTTATCCCAAGGATGCGAAGGTGTTTCAGTATCCACAAATCAGTGTGATACACCACATTAACAAACTGAAGAATAAAAACCATATGATCATCTCGAGAGTTGCAGAGAAGGTTTTTGACAAAAGTTAATATCAATTTATGATAAAAACCCTCCAGAAATAAGGCATAAAGAGAACATAACTCAACATAATTAAGCTCACATATGACAAACCCAGAGCATATGTAGTTTGTCAAACCCAATTTTCTCAACAGTGAAACACTGAAAGCATTTCCTCTAAGATCAGGAACAAGACAAGGATGTCCCCTCTCACCACTTTTATTCAACATAGTTTTGCAAGTTCTAGCAAGGCAATTGAAACACAGATAAAAGGAATCCAAAGTG